TATTTGGTGCCTGGCATTCTTGCACTTTGCAGCAACAAGAAGAACAATTTATCATGCACTGTTCAGGAAAAAACCTATCAAGTTAGTATTAAAAAAATTCATTTTATCTCCTTGGATGTTTAAAGTGTTATGAAAACAAACTTATATTCATCTTGCTCTTTTATGTGGAGACTTGGAAACTAAAGGACATATCATTTAAAAGCTTCTCAAGTCATACACAATGAAATGAAATAATGACTTACATGTTTGCTTCCAGCTGAAGTCAGATATATTACTGAAGATATTTGTGGTATTTCACAATTAAATCCCCATAATGAGATGTAATCACAACACCTGTTATGACCTTGAAAAGCAAAGTTTAAATGAACTAAGTGTTTCCAGTTTTCTACAGTCACATGAGATGACATCTGCTTTGGTAAGAAGTTGAAGAAGCCTGTCTGAATCTATAGTACCAGGTTTTGGCATCCTATTAAGGTCAGAGAAAGCTTCATTTCTTGTAAAGAATGACACAGACATGAAAGTGCTGAAGCTTATAAGACTGTGAATCTGCATATCATGTACAAAAAATTCTAAGAGTAGATATTGTGTGATCAAAAATGCCCACGTTTCTTCTAAGACGTCACCAAACTTACTAGTGCTTTTTGTACATTTCTAGCCAAGCTACAATATGATGAAGAGGCTTCAGTTAACTTGTTCTACTAGCCTTCAGACTTTGCCATGTAAGGGAAGTTAGTACAATTAAGAAAAGCGCAAAACCTTAATAAAACAGTGGAGAAATACTCAAGGACATAATTAGCTTAGTCAGTAAACAAGTATGTGCTTTGTGGACTAAGAATGGCTACGGTATGTTCAAGCTCTGAAGCACTAGGTAGGTGTAGTTTTTAGAGGCCAGAAAAAAAGCACAGAAGGACACAATGCACACCTGGCCCTGTTCTCACCCGGCCTCTCCCACATAGATGCAGCACTGTAACACAGCACAAGGGCCTGCCTTGCCTGACAGATTTCTGAATTTTCTTTAGTTTATATGCAGCAACACTTCAAGTGTTCTGAATATTTTTAGCCTTCTTTGGACTAAAATTTTCATAAACACAGTCAATGACTCTAAACAGACCATATTCTGATTGCTGAGATTTTAGCCTTGTTGGGCCCTGTTTCCACCACACAGAGGTGTCTTACCACACACTTTCTTCATCTAAAGAGCCTTAACGTATCTGAAGACCTCTGTCAAAAACTGACAGTCAGTCCAAATAAGATCATTATATTGTTTCCAGTATGTAGTTATTCATTTCAGTAATATCTTTCTACTTCTAGCTCCAGGACTCATTGTATAAATAGTACCTGAATTTTAATGCTTGGCTGCTCGTACTGCAAACCGAAGCTTGAAATACAGGGTTTGCCTCCTACAGGTTTACTGTAGGGATTGATTGCAACAGAAGGAAAGGGTGAACAAAAATAGTACTTCATATAACCACTCACACCATTTATGGTACTCCTGCCTAAGAGACTCACAGCATTCTGAAGACACAGGATGAGATCATTTGAGATCTGATCCCAGCATCTATTTTGTGTCTCTACCGGACAACTCCACTAACCAAAGTGACCATACAATAGCTGTGAATGTTGCCTGTAGAGCACCATTTGATAGTGTCACCACACTGAATTCATAGGCGTTGATGTATTAAGTCAGGAAATTTATGTAAAGCTTTGCAAAGTTACCCATTCCCAGCAAGTAATATACTACAATATAAACCTGGAGCCATCCTGGCAGCCTCTAAGCAGCACACATTTCACTTTTCCCAGTGGTTTACTTTTGTCTGTCAGATACTGACAGCAGGCAGGTCACGTGGAACACAAAGTCAGGAGCTTCTGTCACACTGTGCTATGATGCCTTGCTATGGGGAAAAAATGATTCTTCCTTAGAGGGACATGCAACCTATCTCCAAAGCTTACCACATGGTTTCACATCAATTCTCATATCTACAATGTTACTTCACCTAAAAGAGTGTCTCATCATACATTAAACATTAGTAAAACTGCCAAGATAATTGATGAAAGGTGAAATAAAAAGAGCATACCTGTAGTCTTTCACTCAAATGGATAGAAGCTTTGTATCATTTAAAGACATACATATACCCTCTAGAGAGGAATTACTTTTCAGGAGAAAAGAGGAAAGTAATACTAGTAGGACAAACACTAATTTATACCACGAATGACTTAGGACGAAACAAGTGACTTCATAGTCAAACACAGTAACACTCACATGGTTCCTTACCAGGAGTTAACCAAGAAGCAGCTACGCCCCCCAGATGTGCAGTGACCAACGCTCCTGCATACATGGATTTCATCCCAGGCAACAGAAGCCAGCCCTGCAAGAGTATTTTTGTAAACCTAGCCCAGGCCTGCATCTAGAACATAACAACAGCGCAAGGCCTGAGACCCCAACCCAGCCAGGAGGCACTGCAGCCTACTCTACTTTGGGACATCCCAAGGCCTGCCTGCCCCACAGGGCCACTCTGTTGGCAGGGCTGACAGTCCAGCAGCTCACATTTGCCACACTGTGTAACATTTCTACATCTCATTTCCTTACTCATTAGGTATTAGTAATTATAAGACTACTGCCGCCTCTCCAAACACAAATATGATGATTCAATATCTGACTTCATTAATAAAACACCTTTTTACCAAGTAGTAAAAAGACATTTTATTCAATTCAACTTCACTTTAGGGCTTGAAGTGAAGTGGGTGGAAGAAGGCAGCTTTGAGCTGCAAAAAAGTACAGGAAGCAGATGAGCTATGTAAAGACAGGAAAGAAGCTGCAGGCAAGTCTTACTGAAGTGCTCTCATTATAATAAGCCCAGTTATTAGCAGTTATACATAACTAGTCTAGTTTCTACTTCAAACTGTGCCCACCATTAAGTTTAAAACAGTGAGCATATAGAAGTTTCAGTGTACTCCAACAATTCTTCCATCCCTCTCAAACGTGCAAGATGACTCATGACTTATTTGTTTACTCTGTTTCTTAAGCAACTAAAAGCAGCCAGTTCCTGCTCTCCATTGCATCCACGTAAGTCTAGCTTATCTCCATTGATTTCATTGGTTTCACTTCCAGTTCATCCTGTAGCACTCGAGAAGAGTTTGACATATACTCGGGTGTGCAGTATTAATGAAAAGCATCACACCAATCTTGAGAAAAAACCTGGAATTTCAATTATAAGCTGCTCAAAACTTCAGAAGCATGTCACTCGAGTCTCAAGGTTCTCAGTGAATTATGTGGGAAGACCACCTCATTAAATGCCAAAAAACTAACTGGTCACCTGTTCCTCTCTTGTTCAATATAAGTAAAAACCTGAAATTGTTACAGTCAAACTAGTACAACACGTTTTCAACAATGTGTATATAGCACGTGACTGAAGTTTGAAACTAGCATGCTCTTAATACCGACAACTCTCACGGATGAGCAAATAGGCCAAACTGTCTCCTCCTTTATATACCAAAAACTGAGAACACAAAACATACTTATTGTAAAGGTAATTTTGACCAGAAACAATACTAAAGTGAAAGCATGCTTTCATTTATACCTTCACATAAGCATCATCCAAATCCAGAGGCCTGCTGGATACTTTTCCCTTAAGTACAGGAAGCCGAGAATTAAATATACAAAAAAGAAGTATAATAGAGACCAAATAACAAAACCATGGGAAAGAACTGGCAGTGTCCCACAATTAGTATAAGGTCACTGAAACTGAATTTTTAACCCAACATAGGTCTTCACACTGCAGTCAAAATTCAGGTTCACTTTGCTGAACCTCTTTTCAGAAAGTATGCAACAGCTAGTACAGGCAAGGCAGTGGAATGCCACCTAATCATTCTTGCTACCGAAACAAAGAATGGGACTGTTACAGTAACAGTTCCAGCACAAATCTCAGCTGTACCTGTTCAGCATAACTGAGCCTATGCATGCCTTCTCAGCACAGACTTGCCTTACCACACAAATTCTTAGGCTTACAGATTAGCGCATTAAGTGATTTTATATTCTCATCCCTGGGGATTACTGAGAACAACCAGGAAATAAAAGTTTCCCTTCCAGGTACAGGTCAGATTTGCCAGTGTAACTCAGCATAGCACTTGAATGCTTGATGCCTCAAGTTTTACTGACTTGTGAGGTCACAACATTGGTAAGAGGAGACAAAGGAATGTAATGATCCAACCCAATCACTGCAAAATCCACAGCACGAAGAGCGTGCTGCCTGTTTCACTGTTTTATGGCCACTGTTACAAGTGTGCTTTTTTAGCTAGAAAGCCCTTGGTATGAGACACAGCCCATGCCAAGAAAAGTCATTTTCATGTCCACGTGTTCATGGAGACCTAGCTTCAATAACTAGCTCTGATGTTGCAACCTGCTGTTACAGGGATTTACTTACCTGATGCCCAAAGCAAACCTTACTTTGTTCTGATATAGATTATACACAGGTGGAATAACAGACAAAAGCAGTAGATTACCATCCTTTATCGTGCTGGAGAAGGAATATGATATTAAATATCATGCAACAAAGAATCAAAGGAAGTCAAAAGTCGACTCAGCATGAATAAACCCAGCCCTGCCCACTGGGCAACACAACCACCAACAGCCGTACTGCTGCTAATAGGGTTCGCACTCAGGAACCTTAATTTATAACCCTGGGGTGTGCCTGTACAGTACGGCCCCTGGAGCAGGCACGGCGTTAGGGGGAAAGAAAAAGGCAGGCCCGAGGCCGACGTCCCTCAGGAACGGCCCCAAATCCCCGGGCGCGGCTCCCGGGTCCGGCGCAGCCCCCGAGGCGCCGCCTCGGCCCCGGGGCCAGCACGGTGAGCCCCGGCCGGGCAGCGCCCCATCCCTCCCGGGGTGGGCGGCCAGGCCGCGCCTCGCCCCCCGCCCGGCCACGGGGCGCCGGAGGCAGACCGCTGCCGAGAGGCTGCTCCTCCGGGGAAGGGCCGCCGCCGCGCCCCCGGCCCGCTCTTACCTCCTCCGCCTCTTTTCCCAGGGGGATGCCCATGGCGCGGAGGCCCGTCTGGAGCTCGGCGATATCCACCCTCCCATCTTCGTTGAGGTCCAGCTTCTTAAAAAGGTTGGCGTACCGGGAGTCGCAATCCCTGTTCCCGTCGCAGGCGGCCGCCGGCAACGCGAACCCCCGCAGGAGCGAGAACATGGCGGGGCCGTGGGGTGCGGGACGCTCGCCCCTCGGCTCCCGCGGGCTGGGCGCGGACGGGAGGCACCGCCTGGAGACTCCGCCCGCAGCTGCCAGAGGAAGAGCCGGCCCGGGCCCGCCTCAGCGGCGAGGGGCAGGGCGAGAGGGCGGGGAGCGCCCTAAGGGCCCGCCCTCCTTCCCGCCCTCCCTCCCTCCCGCCGCTGAGGCAGGCGAGCGGGAGGCGGGAAACGAGGCGCTGAGGGAAGAGGGAGGGCGGCAGCCGCAGCCCCTCGGGCTCCCCTCGGCTCTCCCTCCCGCGCTCACATGGTTGTATGCAGCTAAACGTTTCTAGTACAAACAGAAAAATACCAGGAACGCTGCAGAAGACCTAATTTGGATATTCTGGCTCACTCCAGTCACCAGCAGTAGAGGTTGAAGTTGTATGAAGATCCCCTAGTCTAGGGACAGTCTTTGAAAGAGCTTGGCTTGCTTGGCCTAACAGAACGAAGACTAGAAGAGGAAGCTTCTGGATTATTTGCTTTGTAAGACTATCTGTGGAGTAAATGCAAAAGGACACACCTAGTATAAGAACAAATGGATAGAAAATCTCAGCAAGTAGGCTCTCCAGGAGACAGCCGCATGGAAAACAAGAGCTGCTGAATTGCCTTTTGCTTTCCTGGTGCATATTCAGTCAATACACAACCATGGAAAGTGCATTTCAGCCTTATAGCAGGAATTTAGTAGCCTTGCTCAAAGAGTAAATGATAAAGCTAATGTGCTACATTGTCTGCCCATAGACTAATTGATGTTTGAAGGGCCAGATACTACCATGACTTGCGTATATAAAGACTACCAGATTATGTTACAGGTTCATTGAATCACAGATGAAGTGGGGTGGGAAGAGACCTCAGGGAACCTGTAGTCCAACCTCCTGCTCAAAGCAAGCTCAGCCATGAACTCAGACCGGGTGGGTGAGGTCTTTATTAAGTCTTGGAGCCCTCCAAGGATGGAGACTGGACAACCTCCCCAAGCAGCCTGCTCTACAGCCTGACTGTCCTCACAGGGAAGAAGCTTTTCCCTTTTGATCCACTCTGAGCTCTTCTCATTTGAATTTGTGCCTCACATTTCATCTTCCCACTATGCCCCACTACAAGGAACCAGATCCTATTTTCTTTATAAACTCTCTGTAGGTACCAGGAAGGTGGAGACCTCCTTCTGGGTGCCTACAAAGCCACCTTTTCTTCCAGATGTGCAAGCTCAGTTTCCTCAGCCTCTCCTCACAGAGCAAGTGCTCTAACCCCCAGACATCTTGGTGGCCCTCTACTGAATTCTCCAGTTTATCCATGTCTTTCAGGCATTGGAAAGTCCAGAACTGTACTAGAGTGTCTAAATACAGTCTACCTTGTACAGGGTAGAAGGGGATAATCACTTCTCTCCATCTGCTGGCCATGCTCCTGTTACCACAGCCCAGGATACTACCAGAACACACTGCTGACCCATGCTCTGCTTGCTCTCTGCCAGTACCCCTAGGTCCTCCTCAGCAGAGCTGCTCCCTGGCCTGTACTGTTGCAAGGAGCTATTCCTTCCTACATATGGTACTTCACAATTGTCCTTGCTGAATTTCACAAGGTCCTTGTCACCCCAGGCCTCCAGCCTCTCCGAACGGTAGCCCAGCACTCGAGCACACCTGGTGGTCCTCCACATCTTGGGGTTATCTGGAAACTTGATCAGAGCGTATTCTGCTGCCTCCACCTAACTGATAAATATGTTAAACAAAACAGGCCCAAATAGAAACATGCTACTTTTTTAGTACAGCTAACATTGTGTGTTGGAATAGCCTGAGTCTGAATATACTTTCCTCCTTTCTGGAATAAGGAAAGTGAATGTTGCTGAGGTCAATGCATCCCAGCGATGTAATACTGCTAAGTAGTATGGTCTTTGATTCTGTTTTTCTACTCATACCATCATCTTTATCTAATACAAAACAGCAAGTGCAAGATTCTCTTTCATCACTAATCAGAACATGCAAGTAATATTTATCTGTACTAGTTATTGAATACAATACATAGAAATATGACACAAGTGGGAATGAAACAGCACTACCTTAAGCTCTCATTGCATAGAAACTAGGTTTCTAACATCCAGCATTGTCACTGTCTGAGGTCTTGATGAAGTACAGTTATTTTCTGTATTATCTTACTAAATATTGTACTTGATAATCATACTGATTATCATACTAAATACTGTACTTGTATATTAACACCATGTATGAACTAGAACTTCTCAAAAATTAACACCAAATACCTGAAGCATACACTGAAATTGACCTCGGGCAGCTTTACCTTATATTGTGTGCTAATGTCATTTAGATGTTCAACGTCAGCTAATCATTTTCACATGAACAATAAAGCTGTATGCAAGCACTCAGAAAAACCTGCAAGCATTGAGTGTGAACATCTTTCCTAGCAGCATAATGACAGACACCACATTTTGGTAACCACTTCGGAGTGAGTATGTATGTAATATACACGCACAAAATTTTTAAATCAATTAAATATAATTATTATTTTATGACAATACATACAAGTTTGTGGACTGAGTATCTGTTATAATTTACCTGCAGCATGGGTTCAAAGTAGTGCCTGATGGGAGATGATTGACTAAAGTAAGAAGTGGCATAAATAAAAGATCAAGACAAGAGGAGAACCTCAATGGAATACTGACATTTTCTCTAAAAAACTTGTAGTTGTCATGAACACGTGTGGAAAGTTAGTATCAATAGTCTGAAATTCAAGGTAAAAGAAGAAGAGATGCAGTTGTATTTCCTGAAGAAAGAAAAGCTAGTTTTGGCAGGTTTGGCTTTCATAAGTGCACCCTGCATAGTTATAGTGTGTATCATACTGTTAGGTGTTGTGTAGGAAAAGTAGGCCACAGAAAACAAGCAGAAACAGAGTTTGATAGCTAGACAATTCATATTTGCAAATAGATTCTGCTTTGATTTGCATGCATGGCAGAAGCTTGGAAGTACAGGTTGCATTTCCTTGGTCCAACTCTTTATCCACAATGTGATGCAACAGTGAAACTCATTTTTCATTGAGTGATTCCAGTTTTGCACTGGTCTCCCTGGAATTTAAGTAGTGTAGAGCTGTGCAAAGGGTTTAAATGCTTTTACTTTAGTATGACTGGCTGATACCAATAAGTAGGTAAGTTTCAAGTATTTTGCCTAAGCTGATAGATGAAATATTAGTTACACATCTGAGGAAGCCATTGGCCTTGTTGAAAGATACAGACACTAATTAGGCCTAATTAACCTACTGGACTGACATCTGAGACAGTGACCACAGATGTAATTCCAGAGCTCTGCCTTGTTTATATCTCTAATAACAAAATAAGTATTTTCCTAGTACTTGGAAGCTAGCACTACCAAAACTACAATTTCTTCTACAAATGGTCTTATATGGCAAGTTTTGGGGCTGTATTGTTTATTGACTCATTTGTTAAAAAGGAGTTTTGACTAGTCCATCATCTTGCACTCCAATTTTTATCTTGCTTGAAGGAACTGCATAGTTGCAAAGGACATCTGAGTCAGAAAACAACTCATCTTTGCCCAAGATATGTATCTAAAGATATTAAAAAAAAAATTGTAATTTTTAGATTATTTATATTGAGTATTATAAGGCTTTCTGATATCAGCAGATTAATATCAGAACATCAAAAACATACAGAAAAATATATGCATTTAATGTACTGAACCAAGAGCTTTTAATTAGTGTATATATCAATATATGTACAATAAATGTTTAAGTTACATCAATACGATCCACTTAGAGCAAGTGCTATAAATACCACAAAACCTCAGAGGCTAGAAACAGACTTGATGTATTTTATTAATAGACTAAAACATAACTCAGCTGAATCGCATGATTCAGTGTCTGCTCTAGATACCATAGAGCATTATTCTTTGTCTGTGAGAAAGGAAACACTTCATAACAATCTTAAAATTGTGAAAATAGTCTCCTGCATGAGCCAAAAGTGATTTCTGGCTTAACTCCAGGGACTACAGTGAAGTTGAGTACTTTTTAAATGATGAGATCAAGTACATTTCTGCTACACAGTTAGAAAATTGCCTGTTAAGTACATGCAGAAATTCTATGTCACCTGAAAGAGCAATCTTCAGGTCATACACAGGAGGATATAAATAAACAACACAAAGGCAATAAATATTCAAAAGGCAACAAAGTTCAGGTTTTTTTCTTGTTTTAGGGAAAAAATGAATATTTGCTCCATTATATAGATGTAATTAGCTCAGTTTTAAACTATCGTTATAAGATAATGCTTCGAAACAAACACATTTTGGAATCATTATCATATAATAACAAGCTACGGTAGATTCAGATTCTTGTATTATTTTTTTTTACTGGTACTTGTTTTTTCTAGTACATGGCATTGGACTGGTTTAGTACAAATAACGTATTATGTCTTAATTCAGATTGGTGCTGTAATACAGGTAAATATAGTTTACAAATTAAGAAATCATGATTTAATACCGTCAATGGAGGTTAAGCCGGGCATGCTTCAGCTGTGTTCTGACTTCTCCTGTGACACATGACCATTTTGGAGGGCACATAACACCTCATCAGACTGGGGCTGCTACCTGAGCTTTACTTCCAGCATAGCTTTAAGCCGCTGTGCCACATGAAGGCAGTGCTCATTGTGAGAGCAGTCAGAGAGACTGCTCATCTGGGTTTGCACTAGACATGTACAAACACATCTGGAGGACTTGGACTTCACCACATATTTCTTAAAGCAGGATGAAAAAGGTCATAGTTATGGAGTTTACTTACCCACATTGCATTTAGCTGCCACTGAGTTCACTTTTTAGTTTAATTTAGTTTCAGACATCCAAATGATTCTTTTCCATGACCAAGATAGAGTGCTTACAATTGACTGCTGCTGGAAGCACTGATCTGGGTACAGGTTGTAGCTCAGACCTTATGTCAGATCAAGAGCAGTGATCCATCTAAAGCGAAACCTAGGAATTATTTCAATGTTATTCTGATGCCGCTACTCTTGGGAAAGAGCCGCAGGTCAGAAATACCAGTGCCCAGTGGGGAAATGGCGCTGCAGAAAACAAATAGGCTGAGCAGATGAACACAAGTCGCATCAGTACTGCTTTCAACAGTGGTACATACACTGGTGCTCTGGACAATTTAAAAATCCCAGAGACCTGGGGTTCACCTGTCCATAAAGGACTTTCCCTATTAACTCCTGCAATTTTGTGATTAAAGTCTTGTATTCTTTGGGAGAGCAAAGAGCTTTTGCATTATTTGTTTTATCCTGGTATAACTGTGGTATTTTGAACAGCAGTGATTTTTCCTGATTCTTTTTGTACCTGCTTGAGTAACATTCAACTTGTTTAAAGATTTATGAATTTCTCCTAAAATAAAACTCCAGTGCTTTAAACTTGCAGAAGCTTTACATCAATGACAACACAGGATTGTTACATTACCCACAGTGTTTATCCTTTTTTGAAGAACGCTTCTGCTATTTTGAGAGTCTTTTGATTAAAGATTCTAAGTAAATCTAGAAATCTATACTTCTGACACTTTTGACTTTGACTCTTTCTGATCAAGGTTATACTCAATATAGAAGACTCTTCCTAGTTACCAGGTTCCAGAATGTAAATATAGCCCCTGAATAGAGTTTGGCTTTTCTGGATAAGGGTTACATTAGTATCAAACCCCTGAAAGTCACTGGGCAGCCACTCTTCGTTTTGGCAGTTATCATCTCAGGATGGTGGGGCAGAGCAAGGGCCAGCTCTCTGCAGGAGCAGGAACCCAGGCAGCAGGGCAGGGGCTCCCCAGCCAAGGCCCACCCCCCAGTACCTGAGCACAGAGAGCGGGCACTCACCGCAGCCAGGCAGGGCTGGGACCACGGCGGCTCCGGGGCCAGGAACACAGCTCAGCGACAGCTCCAGCAACAGCAGCTGTAGCCGAGCACATCTACAAGGAAAAGACAGGCCGGAGACTAGGCTAGGGAGTCAGCCTGCAGGTCAGGGTCCACAGCAAAGGGGAAGCAAGACATGACAACCAGCGAGCGGAAAAACAGAATTACGAGACTTAGATAAAGGCTGAGGGCTCAGAGCTGAGCTTAAGTGTGTGCCCCGGGCAGGGTGTGGGGAGGGCCCAGGCGAGGCTGCTCAGGGCTGTTACCACCTGTTGCTGCACTCAGTGTATAAACTCTTACAACTTCTTGAGAAGTGTAGTTATATAGAGAACTTGTTTGCATGGAATACTAACTGAAGAACATGTGCTAGTTTCTAGGCTTTAATCACTTTGAATAAATTAGTATTTTGTGTAAGATAAGTTACAGTAGCTGGACCAATTGTATTTATCAAGCTTCTAACAAATAGTTAATCTGGTATGCAACCGTATTTTTCTTGTTGGATCCTAATACATAAGATTTTTCAGTTAAATATGGCAATTTATTTTCTCATCCAGAAACATCTGTTTTTAACAAAACATTATAATTGGTTCTTTAGCCTTGAAAGCAAGGAGCATTTTGATATAACTTTATATGACCTAAATCCTAATTCATTCACTTTAGGTGCCGAAAACCTTTCACCTTCCGTTTCTTTCAACAGAGAGCTGATGAATATAGTACTGTGAGAATGGCTTTGTAGGATACATTGTACACTGCTGCACTGTTAGAAGACTTTCAGAATTACATTAGAGCAGACTGTTCTCAAGGGGGGAATTCCTAGGTCAAGGCCAAATGCCTAGACCTCCTCTCAAAGATGTATTCCTATTAATTTTACTGTAGTTAAACAGCTTTTTTTTTTCAGAGCCAGTGATTACTTGACACTGGGGAGTTTTGGAAGGGATTTTCTGTTAGGAACATGAAAGCGATAATGGAATCAGAACTACCCTTGTAGTTCTTTTCACTGGAAAATTCTGTATATAAATATTTTTTATGCCTTGGAAGTCATAGGACAGAAAAAGCAAGAGCCTTTCTTTTACAGGCACTGCATTTTCATGTCTTTTGCTCTTTACTAGTACTTTTTTTTTTTTTTTTCCTAGGATCACATTACAGGGCAGTGGTTGACATTTTGGTATACATAGCCACACACATCACTTGTGATGTCTGTATTCATCAGATATGTATTTCATGAAAAATATTAACTGTTGTTATCTTGAACTTTCACAAACTGCGACAAGATTTCAGGGGCTCAGCATCATACTGCATGTATAATCTTACAAATTCTTTTTCTTACTGTGTGAAGAAATGCTCGGTTGTGGGAAGACGTGCTGTGTGTTGGGGTTTTCTTACGCAACACTCTGTAAAGAGGAAACTGATCTGTGATGGAGGTTGCTCAAAGCTTGCTTTATGTTCTAGTCTCCTGGAGTAGGTTTTTGAGACAAAACTGTTCCCCGGAGAGCACAAGCTGGTGTTGAATGCTACATTACACAAAAGTCTGTTGCATGTGTGCTGCAGCGATCAGCTGTGCAACAGGACTGTTCTTAAATGTAAACACAGATGTGTACATTCCTCCTCCTCTACAAGGCGGTGAGCATCTGTTGCTCGCAGCAGAAGTGGAGCTGGCTGTAAATTCCAGGCTGAACTGCTGTGAAACACCCTGGTAAGGTTTGAAGTACGGTGGAAGGAACCTAAACTCTCGAGTCGCAATTTCGACGCCTCAACGCTGATTTGTTTCGTGCGTGTTGTTTAAAGCAAGTCCCGTAGCAGGCGGAAAGCAGGGGGTTTCCACCGCCCCCCAGGGGGGGGTCTCGGGGAGGGGCGGGTGGCACAAGCGCCGCTCGGTCGGGGCCGCGTCCCTCCCCCGGACACCCTCCGCTGCGCGGGACGGGATCGGCCGGGTCCTGGGGCTGAACCGCCCCGCAGCGGCACCGGGCAACTCCTGCGGGCCGGGCCGGGCCGGGCCGGGCCGGGCCGGGCCGGGGCCGGGCAGCACCGGCGAACGGCTTCAGCCGGGCGCGCCTCGCCGGTGCCGGCCGCGGGCGGGGCGGAGGCGGGCGGGTTTGAAAGGGAGGCGCCGGCTGCCGCCGGGGGCTGAGCTGGGAGCGGCCGGTGCTCCGGCACGGCCCGGCCCGGCGGTGCCGCCCTCGACGCCCTCGCTCCAGGCAATGGGAGCGGAGCGGGGCGGTGGGCGCGGAGCGGAGCTGCCCCGCGGCGCCGAGCGGGCGTGGGGGCGGCCCCCGAGGAGCCCCCGGCCCATGGCCTTCATCATGATGAAGAAGAAGAAGTTCAAGTTCCGCGTGGAGCTGGAGCTGGACGAGCTCTCCTCCGTGCCTTTCGTCAACGGCATCCTCTTCTGCAAGGTGCGGCTGCTGGACGGGGGCAGCTTCAGCGGGGAGTCCTCCCGGTAGGTGCCTCCGCGAGCCCCGCGGCTATCGGGCCCCCCCCCACGGGCAGCCGTGGCCGGGCCCTGGCCGCCGCTCTCCGACGGGCTCCGCCGAGCTGAGGCGCCCGCCTGCCCGCCTCTGCAGCCCCTCGGCGGCGGCCGGCCCGGGGGCGAAGCGGGTTCGGCTGCTCCGGGGGGCGAGGCGGCCCTCGGCCCGCCGGGGCCCGGGGGAGGGAGCGGCCGCGCCGCTGCTCCCGGAGCCGGCGGCTGCCCGGGGGCTTCTGGCGGCTCCGGGCCCCCGCCGGGGCCAGCGCCGGCGGCTGCGGGCCGGCTGCTCGGCTCCCCGCTCGGGGAGGGGCGCGGGCCGGGCGGGCGGGCTGGCTTCTCATCCCGCCCGCGCCTCCGGCACCGACGGAGACAGAGTAGGAGTGGGAGCGCTGGTGGATTCCTCGTCTGCGCGGCTGCTCGATAGTCGTGACACTTCAGAACAAATACTGGAGGCTCTTGAACGCTGAAGACCAGGGGGATGAATCCGTGCGTGGGCGAGGGCAGTCCTAGAGAAGCCCCAACGCCTCGGGCTGTACAGCCGGCTGGCTGCGCGGGTAACGGGCGGGCGAGACGTCGCTTGTCACCAAGTCACAAGTCAGAGCTGTCCCCTGTGAACGGCAGTTGCGCGACCTTAATGTTTTATTCTGTTGGACACTGGCTCACTGTGTTTCATTCTGTGGAGATTTACTTAGAGTTAACATAAGCAGTTTAATGGAAAAGTCCTCTCATTTCCTGTACGTATTCAGGTCATATGTGTTACTTTGTTCACGCTTAATTCTGCACTGCAGGTAGAGCAGTAGACTGGTGTCCTTTTTTTTTTTTCTTTTTTCTTCCTTTTATTTTATTTTTTTTTTTTCTCCTTTTGTGCCTCAGCAATAGAGCCATCATCTGCTGTGAGGGTGGCTTCCCAATCTGCTGGTAGCCATGGGTAAGCAGGGTGCAAGAGGGTTAATTTTTTCCAGATGCCAGGCAGAGGCAGAACCTTGTCAATAGGAAGGGTGTGCTGTGGCCTCAGGTCTGGGGAGGAGGTGGCTACCCTCCCATTACACTTGCTCATATAGTACAAGTTATTATATTACTTTAATGTTATTACAGAAAGGATTTACTGAAAAATGTCTCAGAGACTTCTGGAGGCAGACAGAAATCAGTAATAAATCTATGAATATTTAGTTACTGTCTTATTAAAATACTGCTGTTACAGAGCTTGCTAATGTATTTGCTTTTGATTCTGTAAATAGAGTTAATCAAGTAGAACAAAGAGCATAAAAATGGAACTTTGGCCTAAAACCTCCTTATTTAACCACTGTTATACTAGCATGTATAATTGAAGATTAATTTTTCTTCTGTACAGTTGGAGGGTCTTCAGCTCATCCGTGTTCTGTTCTCATTTCTTGTCTCTTTTTTTTCTTCAACATTTTTCTTGTGAGCTGCTTCTTCATGAATAACAGATGATGGTGATAATCATGATTTTAGGCACTGATGTGCCATTACTGTCCTAATGCAGCCCTTATTGCCTTGAGGTCATTTTCACATGTTGACATACATCTTCTGGACAGTATTTTAAAGGAGTTGACTTCAGCTGAGGTGCTGTTTTTGATAGATTGTGATCTTAGCCTTTTTTGCTTTGCCTGTTTATGATGCTAAAATTAAAAACTTGAAAGGATACATGTGTATCTTTGAGTGTGAACAGTGTATTAGAGTAAAATATGGATGATAGGAGGTGGTAGGTGTACGTAGGAAGTGTCAGTGGAAGTGTGACAATGTAAAAAATTGTGTTGGTGTCCAAGAAGCTTGGAAATTCTTCCATTTTCTTTCTCCGAGGGTATGGCTTAAAAATAAGAACAGCTGTGAAACATATGCTGCTATATCAAAGTCCCTGTGAGTGTTACTGGTCCATTCCTGCTGGACTGAGAAGTGTTGAGGTATGCTGGTAGGAAGGTAAAGAATTCTTCTGCAGTGATCCTTCAGTGCCAATTTAGGGAGTGCCTTTGCTCTTGGCTTAAGAATTAACAGATGGATTTTCACAGTGGTGATTCAGCAAAGATTGGAATAAATAAGGAAGAAATTAAGTTAACATCACAGTGGCAGCATTTCAAAACTTGTCGGTTGCAAACTTTTTTTAATGGCCATCATCTTCTAGTTGCATGCATTTATTAGTTTTGCTGTGAGCTGGCAGTCATATCCTGAAAGCAATGAACTTAGTAGCGTTATAAAAGAAGTCTGAAGAACACCACTGTGTTTCAGAAAGTAATATACAAACTCATTTCAAGTATTGTATAATACATGGGAAAACTGACCTTCTTAATAGCTTTTGTTTTTGTTACTGACTCAAGTTGAGTAAACTATGATTCTTTGGGGGAGAAGTTACTGAGAATTACGTTCTCAAGTTGGAATTGATACAAGCCAATACGCTGCTTACCCTTGCCTTCAAAACCCTCACAACAACAACAAGAAAAAAACACACAAACAAACAAAAAAACCCCAACAGGCAGTCATATCGACAGGCTATGAACCAGCCTAACATCATTAACATTTTCTTTCCGAAGCTTACTCACTGAGAAAGATGTCAGGAAAGCACAGGCAGCATTGGACTGAAGGCCTACCTGTAGCGAGTTGTAATGAAAACAGATTCAAGCGGTCGGTTGTCTTCTCAGCCCTGCGCGGATCATGCTGTATGAATCATTAAAGCCCTGATCCTACAAGCAATGCGATACCTACATCATCCCTCTGAACACTGAAGTGGGATGAAAAGAAGACAGATAAAAGTTCAAGCTACTAAAAAATATTTCTTTCACCTTTCAGATATTTACTGAGGGAGAGATATGTAGGACATATGTTAGGAGGACATGGTCCATGTGATTGGAGATGTAGTCAGAGAGCAACAACTTTTCTGGCTGTCACAGATGTGTGCCTGAAGTGTACAGAAATTCTGTTCTGATAAAACCAGCCTCTGTAGTGCAGCACACAGTGATCATATTAATTGTGTACACATCACTGTTGTTTTGTGTTTGTGTGTGGTTTTTTAGAACTCCAATTTGAAGACTTTGTTTTGAAACTTCCCCATGCATATTTGTGAATATTTACTGTAGGAAAATAAAATTCTGTATTATAATGCTAAAAGGTTAATTATTTGACAAAATAATAAACTTTTTAAAGTAATCTGGTACTGTCAAATAATACTTTGATCAAAGGGCATTGAACAGCCACTTAACAGCAGTGTTTAAACTGTGGGGGGATGTTTGAGTGCAGAACCCTGGAATACTGGGGAGAATGAGTGGGTTACAAACTTTGACTCTACGATATGGAAAACCTCGAAGGAAGTGGGGAGGTTTTGTTAGGTTGTTTTAATAAACTGCCAATCAGCCATACAGTGCAATTCCTGCCCTTTCCTTTTAGAAATTGATTTCTAATATGACCTATGGATCTTTACAATAGTATTTTTAGATTTTATAACAATGGGTAAATTTTCAGCAAATAGACTGTGGTTGTATGCATACTTATGCTAAGAAACCTCATTTTAATGTAGAAAAAATTCTCGCTTAAGCCTGGCTTTGTATATGGAAAGATACATTTCTACATTTTTATCTTTCACCTGGATTAATGACAACAGATCTCTCTTTGAAATTGGATCCATTAATACAGGATACTTGTGGAGATTCCAGGTTACTATGTATCTATACACTGCCTGGTCTATTGCACCCTGAAAGGACAGAAGACTATTCCAGGGTAGAAATTACATCCTATAAGTATTTGGAATAGAAAAAGACTCTTTTAAGGTATAGGCTCGACAAAATACTAAGCATATTTATTCAAGACTGGTCTAATGCAGACATAAATATATTGAAAGTATAGGTTGTCTGCAACTGCTCGCATTTTAATAGGCTGAAGAAATAACTGATGGGCCCCTAGAGTAGGTAACTGCTCACAGGCTGAGTTGTTGCTCAACCAGCAGCAAAAGAACAGATGAGGTATGAGGAAATCCAAGAAGTTTTGGAAAGTAAAGGATCTTATTTCTTGAGGGTTTATTTTGAACACCATACTGTATAGAGTTATTTTTAGCTTGATTTCCACCCGCACCCCACTCAAGGAAAGGACTTACTGGTTGTTGGGTTCTTATGACTGCAGTCTTCAGTTTGGCTGTATTCCCCTGCCTTTGAAATCTGATTTCTGACACTTCAGGCTGCTGGTTTTTCTCTCTTCATTCTTCTACAAAACACCATTCAAAAATAAGAAGCTGATGATGATCAGCATCTGCATGACAGAGATTAGGGGCAGTTGAGAACTCTAAGATTTTCATCGAAACATTTTATTGTCCAACAGATTCCAGGAAAGTGTTGGTTTTTTGTGTACCACACACACTCTTGAGTCCTGACAGGCAATCTCAGAGATCTTTCATTACTTGCATGAATATATTCTTATTCCTAATAGATACAGGCTAGAATATGTAATTGTCTTCTGCAGCAATTGATTTATCTTCCAGATAATAAGTACTTCTTACTTCTAGTGATGCTTGGCTACCTCCTTTGCAACTGCCTAAAATTACATCTGGTTTTTGTGACTCCAGCAAGTACATTTTCTGCCTCACTGGACTCTTCAAATAGCTTTTTAACCTTAATAGTTTTTCTTGTTGCTGCTATTGAATTTGAAAGGGAAAATTTATCCTGACAGTAACACCGCTCAACCATCTTTCTGTTTTTAAGCAAAAATTCTTGTTAGAGAAACATACCTGTCACATGGAATTACTGTCCCTATCACTCTCATTTTCCTGCATGATGTATGAATCCTGTTGACAGTGTTCAGCTGGTAATGGATAATGGTACTTTTGATAGCTTTTTCAGCTGTAACCGGATTTGCAGTTGGATAAAGTGCTGTGCGGCAAATTGGTGGTGGGATAAAAATCCTGGCTTGGAATTTTCTAACTGCTCTTTTCAGATTCCCGAAAGTCCACTTTGTGTTTTCTCAGTTGTAAAGAGACTGTTAGTTGAGCAGCTTCCAGGCTCTGTCCCTCTCTAGAGAGGAAGAGATAAGAAGTTGTTCTCTACATAAATAATATTTAAAAAAAAAAAAAAAAGAAGTATTTTCAGGGTACTTCTTCAGTCTTTCATTAATAGCTACAATAAAGTGGGTTTAGTCAACAGATGTAGGCAATATGCTTGAGGAATGTAACATGATGTACAAGGATTGGTATAGATAATCCAGACAGGGCTAAAGGGGAAGAAAAGAAGGCTGAAACTTTAATGGGAGAATTAATGTACAAAGGTGGAAGAATAGCAGTGTGGAAATAAGAGGGATGGAGAAATCAAATCTGAAATAAATTATTTGGTTTTCCTCCAATATATCAAAGGAGTAAAGAGAATAAAATCAGATTGGAAGTGGGTCATATCTGGGCTACAGTAGGAGATAAACTGTTTGTACAGACTGTATTTTATATGGGATGTAACTAGATACTGCAGATATTAAAAGGGCTCTTTCCTGTGAGACTTCTGTTACTGTAATTACTAGTAAAAGATACAGCAACAGCTAGCTTTTCAGGAAAAAGTTCCTGGAAAGAGATGCATGACAGGCATCTGTTAATGAGGAGGGGCTGGGGTAAAAAGCTTTTATGCTTAATTTCTCTGGCTTGTGCAGGAGAATAGGCACTTTGGTTTAAAAGAGGTGGTGATGTTGGGTTTTTTTCCCCCGACCCCAGAACAGTGCATGAAGCACAGTATTTAGCTGTCATAAACTTGCCATTTGCAAGCACCATAGCACCTGAGTGCCTTAATATTTTATATATTTTTAAAATATTTTTTTTATGTCTTCGCATATTTCTGGTCATGAAATAATTTAGGGTGGAGAGGAGCACTAGAGATCATGTAGGCTAACTTCCTGCTCACAGCAAGACTAACTTCAGCTAGATGAGGAAGCTCAGAACTTTGTCCTGTCAACTTTAGAAAATCTGTGAGAATGGGAATTCCAGTATTTGTAGACAACCTGCCCCTCTGCTTCACCACTTACATTGTGAACATTTTTTCCTCCCTTATTTTATTGGAATTTCTCTTGTTATTGCTGCTTCTCCTTTCTCCACTCCCCACTAAGAAATGTCTGGCTCCGTCTTCTATCTCAATAGAGATGGTCGAAGATTGCAATTAGATCTTCCTTCACTTCTTCTTCAGATTGTAAAAATTCCAAGTTCCCAACTTCTCCCACATCAGGTGCTTTATCCTCCTCATCCCTGACTCCAGACCCTCATCTCACACCTCCCAGACTTGTTTATCAGTATCTTACTTCTACGGGAGGGCCCTAAAACCAGCCACAGTGCTGCAGATACAGCCCCACAAAGTTCAACAGAGGGGAACAATCCCTTCCTTTGAACTGCTAGCTATAGTCTTGCTAATGCAGTTTGCCCTTCAGGGTGCTAATTCCCTTTTAGGTCTCTGCATTTGCCTGTAACCAGCAGCTTTTCATAAGTAAAAGTACTCCAAAACAGCTCTATTTCCAATACGATGATCAGTTTATACATATTTTATAAGAAACGCTTGACATGAAATGTTGTTAGAGATTTAACCTGTTTATTATGAGTAAAAACATGTGGAATAGAAAACGATTGCTCTGTTAAAGTTTTTCATGTACTGACAGCAAATTAACTGGGGAGTTGTACACTGTAAACAAGTGGAGCTCTTCCTGCAGAGCCAGCTGTTTGCTGGTTTGCTTAGTGCTGAAATTTGTGTAACACTGAAGCTCTGTAAATGACTGTTTTTGTTGTGAGGGTTTTTTTGGTTTGGTTTGTTTTTTTTTTTTTTTTTTGCAATGCTTAGGAACAAACGTTTTTGTTGGAGAGAATGTATCTACTTATATGCCTCCAGCACGGAGGAAACACAGAATATTAAAGGAGAAGTAAACTGTATTTCTTGCCGAATATAAGAAATAAATTGAAGCTTCACTTAAATTTATTTATATTTATGTTTATTACTACAGTGTATACTTTACAGATCACGCTCTAAGCTCTAATTTCAAGAGATGCACCTTTCTATATGGAGACTAAATTTAGCGTTTTGCTTATTAAATAATTTAAAGTATAGGTTGGTATTTGAGAAGTTACATTGAATATTTTTTGGTCCTTTGTAGCTCAATGTTTCTTAAAGATTATGAGGTTGGAATTGGTACGTGCATGGGCAGCATGTATGTTGCCTGTATTATGTGTTCTATGCATGTAATACACATAACTTTTGAATTAATTTGGTACTGGTGTTAGTGCTAGATCTTCTTGTTTGCTTCTGAATAGCTGTGTTAATTTCATATTGGTCTATTTGTGTGTGTTAGCAGTAAGGATTTTAGTTTAATTTGAAAGTGAAGGATCTCTTTGTTGGGTGATCTTGTTTATATTTTGTGTCTGTGTGTACAGTGGAGATATTAAAAGACCATGAGTAAATCATACTGACACTTCAGCTGCAAGGATCTAACCCAAACAAGAAGACTACTTTTCTGTGCAGTGATTTTCTTCTAAAGTTCTTGACACTTTACAAATACCAAGCTACTTGGCAGACCTGGGAGACTGAATAGTAGGGCACAGTGTTTTGCTTCAAAGTGGACTGATAAGACAGTCACTCAGTCACTCTGGGAGCCTGTTGCATGGGTAACATACCTTTCCCTCAACTGTGAGACTGCACAAATTTTAAATGGAGGTACACTTGGGGTAAGAAGGGTGTAAGAGGGTATTCTTTTCTTGCATGCCAAACCATTATGTGTTCCCTAGTATAAATTAGAACTCTATCCAACAATACCTTCCTAATGCTAAAGATAGTTTAGGAAAGGTCAAATCTTCCTGTAAAGTACATGAACCACTGAGGGCACTGAAAGTGTGGCTGATAAACTTTTAGATTAGAGGCTAAACCATTTATTCGCATCTATGTAAAGTGGGATTATGACATGGGTATTTCTTAGGTGCGCTGGCATTCTGTAGAAGAAAGCGGTTTGGTTTATTTATTTTTATATATATATATATATATATATATATATATATATATATATATATAACTAAAAATAACTCTGTGTTACTCCAATCTACTAAGCACTGTATTTGTATCAAAAGGACAGAGCTAGCTGTATTAAATTTATTCTGCCAAGGGCTGATCAAAGGAAGCTGTTCGGTTAGGTGATAAAAGCTCATATGCACACCCACAAGTGAGCACAGGAAGTAAAGGCAGGGGAGGGTGGAGGAGCTGAAGTAATACCCTGCCCCAGCTCTTCCCAGGCCTGTCCCAGGAGCCATCAGCCCCTGAAAGGCCCACCTACACAGGGGCAGGTGAGGAACTGATACTAGGGGCTTGGACAAGGGGACACCCTGCCCAGGCCCCTCCCAGGGCTGTCTCAGGAGAGCCTCAGCCCCTCAGGCAGGAAATCCATGTGTCAAGCTAACACTAAAGCACCTTTTGGCCTGCAGGGAGTTGCTGCATAGCGCTGATATACATTATGGGATGTTTAGGGGAGGAACTCAAGGTGGAGGAAGGGATGAATTGAGGTGATTTGGGGAGGAGCAGGTGTGGGGAAAATAGAGACGTGAGGGGATAAAAGGACCAGTTAGGTACAAAGAGTTTGCTAGTTGGTATGTTTGTCTGGCCAAGCCCTGTTTCTATTTGGTGCAGTCTGTTGTATCTTCATATTAAACTACGTTCTAACTGTTTCCTGGGCGAAAGGCGTTCTGTTCAGTACGGGTGTGGGGGGGGCTGAGTGCCAACAACTGGAGTCAAGACTGTGTATCAGAGGGCCTGGGTGTCTGTGGTGCCAGCAACAGGAGACACCTGAGTGAGTGGACTTAAGTGCCAGTCACAGGGGCCTGTGTGTTCACTGTGCCAGCAGCTGGCCTGGGATCATGGGCCAGAGCACCCCAGTGCCTGGGTGCCAGCAACTGGAGACTAGATGAGTGAAACCAATTGCCAGCCACAGGGGTGGGACCAGGAGTCCAAGACCTGTGTGCCTGTGGTGCCAGCACCTGGACGGAGTGCAGGCGTGCAAGTGTGTAAAGGCTATCGGGGATCAAGCCACATGAGCTGTCAAGTAGGTGGGTGTAGCCTGGGAGCCACATATATGTATATGGGTCTTGCTAGCAGACCTCTGTCCTGTTCAGCCAGAGAAGGGAGTGGGGTGAGGCTGCTGGTGCTGGCTGCCTCTGAGTGCTCCACGTGGCCGGCTCTGTGGGGGGGGTGCTTACCAGGAATGCATCTTCAGCCTCGCTACAGGTTGGATCTGGGGAGTGGAGCTGCAGCAGCCTCACTTCCCTCAGGCTGTCCCATCACCGTGATGTATTTTCCCCTACAAGAAACAGCAAAACTTAAGCAATATTGGAAAAGTTGCACTTGCTTAGGGATAACTCTTTTCAAGGGATTTTATTCACTGTACTTTGGACTCTTAAGAACCTGGTCTCAACAACTTTTAGAAGTCCAAAGCAACCCTCCCATCAAACTGCCAGCTTGAAAAAATAATAATAACAATAATATTCAAGGTTGTTCAAGGTATTTATAGTGAGTAGGTAACTAATCTTCCGTCCAAAAGATGGAAGATGTCTAAGCAAACACCCCTGTCTTTAACATAAAGAAGAGTACTGACCCAACTGATTCCAAAAGTATTTCTAGAAGCAGCTTCATGTGAAAGTAGTCTGATAATAAAGACTGAATGGCATCTCAAAACTGAAAACAAGTGCTCCCAATTTTTTGTTTCTTTGGTGACCAATGATTCTAAAATAATAGCACTAGAAAAACAATCCATTTAAAATAATCATCCCCATGTGGCTAGATGTTATAAATGGCTGTCTATAATAATTCAGATAAAAACTTGAATAAACAATTTTCTAATTATTGGAACACAATATTTTGGTCAAGGAGTTTTGGCTTCTTTATTTCTAAGCATCTCCTGATAAAGATTTTCCAAGAAGGGATTTTTCCCATGACACTTAAGGTCCTTAAAAGTGATTTATTTTCGCTTTTGTAGCTATTTGCTGAAAGAAGCCATTATTCATCTAATTTATCCATGTGAAAATTAACAAACAGTCTGCTGGTTGTAAATACCTTCAAGAAAAAAAAAAAGGGAAAAAAAAAAAAAGATCACCACCTGTTAACAAATTAGGATGAGGAGTTGACTGGATTAGGATTTGTTGGGTTTTTGTGTTCAGTTTCTTGTTTTTTTCTTTTGTGGACCAGAAAAGAAAAATCAAGTATTTTATTAATCATTCTAAATGGAAATTGTGTACCATACATAAAATACATAAAGAAAAAGATTTGTCAACAGCTGAAATCTTGCATTTGAAATCTAGTCAATGCGAAATTGTCTCTCTAAAGAAAAAAGCAATTTGTTAAACTGATGGTAATCTAAACTATACTTTGGAATCAGTTTATCTTAAAATATCTGTCTATTCAATTTATTCTTGGTTAGGTCTTACTGACAGCATTTGTTAAGTTACACCAAAGCAATACAACCTAGTATGTGTTTGACTGCCTCTTGGTAACTAATATGTATTTTGATTCTTAAAACAACTGGTTTTGCCTTGCATGTGGTGAAGTGACTGTGAGGCTCATAGGAAGCTGACTCATAACGGAAAGCTTTCCCTAGCATGGCCTGTAGCACAGGCACAGTTGCCAAGAAGTTATCTGGGTGCATTTCTATAGTAACCAATCAATATAACTGTTTATTTTCTAAAGTCCTTGCACTTGCACTAAGAATTTTATAAGCTCTGGTACTACTCTTTAAAGTTAAATGTTCTGATTATTTGACCATTTTTCAGCATGAGGGGAATAACTTGCTGGTGCTTTTCTTTACACAAAAATTACCTTCATTTAAAATATGCAAAATTTTTCTTTATATAATGTAATTAGAACTGCTCAGTGGGAGGGAGGGCACTTGGTTGTGTTTTGTTTATTGCAGATTGTGTACAAATGTTTGAAATACCTTGCTTTTTAAAAAAATGTACCAGTGAAAGAAACTAATGGTATTTTTTTGACATCCTTCAGAGGAGGAAAGATTATTCCTGGTTTTAGTTGATGCTATTTTTACAAGAATTAGAGCATCAGTATTTATAACTGAGGCTTTTTTACTTTCTTGTTTGTAAACAGAACTTAAACCTGATCATCCTATCTGCTGTTCATTAAATTATTTGCCTGAATAAATCCTGACCTGTGATATGAGTGGATTGAGTCTTACAAAAGCATAGTAGTTTTGTGCTGTCTTCCTTACTTGAACAATGACATACATGTAGTAGTATTTGTATGCTGAAATAAATTCAAAATCCTTAGAGGTTTTAAGGACACTTATATTTCTCAAGCAGATGTTACTTACATCTTGTATTTACAAGCAAAAATACATTTAACAGGCACTAAATTGACTTTTACAATTATGTTAGTGATGTCTGGAATACTGTATGATGTAAAATTGCTTTGACTGTAGTTTGCTCTAGCAGTAGAAAGCTGATCTGAGAAGCAGCAACACAACCCAAACCAGAATACTGAGTCATACAAAGGTTTTGGCACATTCTTTTTGCCTTATAAGATTACAGTAATGTTTTTTGTTGGAAAAGGTATTATTACCCAATAACTGGAGATGTTACAGATATAAAAACACTAGAAGTACTTAGCAAAATGATGAATAGGAGGAGAATTGATTCTGTTACTGGTAGTCCCACTGGTATCCTGGGTGGTAAGAACAATGACAACTGTCCTACTTGAATGATCAACACGTGCTATGAGAAGGGATTTTCTGACCTTTATGGATGGCAAGTGAACACTTGCAGTCCTGTAGCACTGTTTTATAGCCTTATAATGAATAGCAGAAAACCTACATTGCTTCTAGTTTTCTAAACGACACTCGAGGCTGGAATTGTTTTGCAGATATTATTGGATGCATAGTAATGTGCAAGTGCAGGCTCCCTGTGAATTCATGGCAGAACTCAGGAGGAGGTTAAGTCAAAGGATCGTTAAGAATTCTTGCTTTTTGAAACTTAATAAAGGTTTGTATAATTGCATGCGTTTTAGTATTGATTAGATATTTCTGGTAAGACTTAATTCCAGTAATTCTTTTAAGTCCAGTAAAACAGACAGCCAGGTACAATAATCACTTTGTTTAGGCAACAGCATTTTTAATTACCCTCTTAATGTAGAGGTTTTTTAATTATAGTGGTGTGTTAAAACTGAGATTCTTACTCTATGCTGAAACTAGATATAAAATGTGCTTCAGGGATTTTTCCGTCTCTGTGCATTTGGGTTTTTTTGGGGGAGGAATAATACCAGTGTGCCAAAATGTAACGGGTTTAGTGAAAGAAAATCTTGGCCAACCATACCACTTAGTTAATCTGCACTCAAGTTCAGCTCCCTGCTCAGTCTTTTTAGTCTAACAAGCTGCTGAAAGATAGGGTAGCTAGCAGCCTGGTTGAGGCCATAAGCAAGTCTATTGTCTTTCAGTATCAGGGGAGCACTGTTGCTTTTGGTGCTCACAAGAGGATACTGGTATTGTTTCATAAGTTTCTGGCATTCTCAATCTATCCTGATAGAACTGTTGACAGAAGGATTGGAGTACCACTGTCAATTTAATGATTTAAGATTGTGAGATAAATATCCTTTCTCAATACAAAGCAAAAATTTGTAGCTAGATAGCTCATGAAAAAGGTTTTTTTCCTTTTTTTTCCTGCTTGTGCTAAAACTAGTTTTGATGTGGTGGTGCTTGTGAGAGAAGAGGGCCTTTTATTTTTTCATTTTTAGGTTAAACTCAAAATGTTAATTAGAAAAAAAATAAAGAAAATAAATTATGGAGATTTCATTTCTAAGTTCCTTTGAGAAAGGTTGGAGCACAGTCATCTGCAGAAAAACAGGGTGTTCTCAAGAATTCTGTTATCTTTAAGCACAGTGTACGAAATGTGCAAATACGCAGGCCCCAGATAGCCGTGCACTTGGATAACTGTGTTTAGCTTGACAGTGGACATCTAGTTTACTATTTTCTTTACCTGAGAGTTGAGTAACTATCACATAAGTGCTACAATAGTTATTCCTAAGCCTTTTAAGTGTAACAAATGTTAGCAGTTACCAAATACCCTTTCAAGGTTGTATTTTACTTGATGACTTCTTGCCTGAGCCTGTTTCTAGTAGAAGTTGTAACTATTTGTAATTTGCCTTTTTTAAATTTTGGATTTAAATAACTCATACTGGCAGTTTGGGATTTTGTTCTTTCTTCCAAAGGACAGGAAAGTTTAGAATGTAAAACATAACAGCTAAAAAAAAAAAAAAAAAGGTAGATCGTGGTTGTTCAGAGCCTGTTGCTTTTAGGTCATGTGCTTGAATATGACTCAGTGTTGTATCATCAGCATCCGTTAATCTGTTGTGGTCATTAAAATGAGTCATTTTAGGCAGGCTAGTTTATTCCCACCTTAGGAAGCCATGGTGCCAGTGACCGCTGTAGCTGGCAGTTTTACCAGCACAGCAAATCGGAGCTTTTGCATGAGCCTTATGATTCATCATTTCTCCACAAGTGTGACAAACTTGGACTCCAGCTTATGTGGAACCATAGAATTCTACCTCTGTTAAAGATGTTAGACTGGATCTTCATTAACAAGTTGCTGTAAGAAGTTAATATAAAACAGGAATGTATGTATTGGAAAAATGGAAGAGAAAGAAAAGGACAAATATTGCTTTAGTATGTGAAGGACTATACTTGAACTACTATCGTGGTAGAAGAAATTATCACAGTTTCTCCACAGTTCCAAGTTCTAAGTTTAGAAATGTGGGACTAGAAAAGAGTTTTTGATCACTGAGGCAGGTCGCTCAGAATCACAGTCCTTATGTCCTCTGTTATTGACAAACTGGCCAACCTTGTCTTTAATTAAATTTTTTTTTGCTCCTACTTCTCTTATTTGAAGGCTGTTCTAGAAACTTGCTCCATGGTTTGAGACCTTGTAATTTTCCATTTTGAATGGGTGTTTGGTTATGCCCTATTTGGCCCTAACCACTTTTCATTTGACTTGAAGTTATTTGGTCGCTAAAGTATTTGAATCACTAGTGTATTTTTATTATATGTAATTTTTTCTTATAAGTACAGTTTTCTAGTTGTCCTCCCTGTATGTGTTCATTTTGGAGTCTGTTCTTGCTCAAGCGGAGTTACTCAAACAGAATAACATGTTACATTTGAGTCTTATGTAATGGTGATATAGCTGAAAGCATCCTACATTTTGCCTTTTTCTCAGCAGCATCATACTGTCAGGTTGTAATCGTCCTGTGATGAAGAAGTCTGTTCAGATATTAGTCGTCTTACTTTGCACTCAGATGGCAAGTTCCCAGTATGTAGCTAAGTTCTTGTTTGCCCCAAGTGTGTTACTTTGTATCTGTTATTGTACATCATCTCCTTTGTACTTTTCCACGCCTCAAATTTATCTAGTTCTGCTTGTAAGATGCTCCCTCTCTCTGTATTGAAAAACAACTTGTCAAAGACTGTATTTTCAGCCTGTTCCAAAGCTCAGCAGCTTGGAAGACAGTGCCTGAGAGCTACTGTTCAGGTAGACTTTGGTCTCCTGAGGCAAACTGGAGAAATCATGGTCTTGTTCATTTGCAAAAACACACAGCTGTTGAATTTTTCTGTAGGTCTAATATTGTGTTCAGTGTCTGAAACAGTTATTAGTCTTGCCTACACAAAGAGAAGAATCAAGGATGATTAATCAGGCCTTGGAACAGGTTTTGCATGAAGTGACCGTTCCATATGCAAACAGTAGAACCAGTTCTTGAGCCATCCTAATCATATGTTCTCTATTTTCAGGGAGGTAGTACAGGCAAACTGTGTCCGCTGGAAAAAAAAATTCTTATTTATGTGTAAAATCAGTGCCAGTGCCACAACAGGAGTTCTGGATACTTGCATTTGCAGGGTGTCTGTACGGAAGGTAAGTAGCTCTTTTTCCCCTTCTCTCCTCTTTCCCTGCTCTTTCTTCACTTGTTTTCATTTAATTTTTAAAAGTCTGATAAACTTCATAAAGCAAATTTTATCTGCAAGTTTGTCAGGTATTATTCTAGTCAAAATTTTGTGATGAGCTTCTTAATTACCTTAGTTTGACTAATTAATGTTTCTTTATATTCTTATTGAAAACAACACTTAGTCCATCAGGACAGCAAAGGAATCGCTCATCAGTCTTTATAAAGTTAGCCCTTTCTAGATATTTCTAGCAAGCAGCCATAAACTTAGAAGCCTTAGTCTGTGCTAAGTACCACAGTTTTGTACGCAGCACTTCCTACCTTTGGAGCTAGAATTTGCAAGAGCCAACTGCTGGTCAGCATCAGAAACACACCCTTCCCTCCCCTTCAAGATGACAGTCTCCTGCTGGCCTGCACCAAGGACATCAGTAATACCAGGTTCTAAATGATAACAGTACAGTCTAGCAAATGTGTGCTGAGCTATTAAAAAAAAAAAAACCAAAAAAAAAAAACCCAAGCAACCAAACAAAAAAAAATCAAAACAAAAAAACCCAACCAACCAAACAAATAAACCCCAGTCAGGATCTTTAATGCCTTAATGGCATGTCTTTTCTTTTTTTCTAGGAGTTAAAAGGAGGAAAGGCATATGCAAAGGTAAACTGAGATGTATTTAATTTTGCCTATGAATTAGCTTTTCTTTCTTGTCATTTTATGCCCTTTAAAAGTAATTCCACAATAGTAGTAATACCCATGATTTCATTATGGTCATTCTAGTGACACAGTGGTGTTGGAACTCTCAATCAATGTCTTTAATAAGTATATAATAATATTATAGTACCAGAATTTTTTTTCTTTCAATTTCGTATGGTGAAAGGGTTGATAAAAGTAAACCCTTCTACATGTGTTTACTTTTAAAAATAAAGAAAACTCTCCTTGTTCTTTTTTTCTCTTAAGACTTTAACTGAAAATAGAGCTGTGCAGAATTTGCCATTCAAAGTTTGCTTTCTGCCTTTTGCCTTGGGCCATTCCCTTTAATGGTCATCATCTTATTCATATTTGAGAGAAACTGCTGAGTGGCACTCAATACTGTGCGTGTAGCAAGTACCTTCACTTAGTAATATGCTTACCGCTAACTTTGTCATTTACTCTTAACAGCTGGGATTTGCAGATCTAAATCTAGCAGAGTTTGCTGGATCAGGAAATACCACTCGTCGCTGTTTACTGGAAGGTTATGATACCAAAAATACAAGACAGGATAACTCCATTCTCAAAGTAATTTGTTTCCTTTTATCATAATTAAACTAACAAATCAGAGAACAAGTGGTATTATTAAGCACTTAATGAAATTCAAAACATATTTGCTGAACCCCTTACTAGAAGGAGAACTAGCTAAAGTAAAAACATCAGCATTGTTTAGAGAGAATCATTAAAATCCACGCAGTCAAAAACAGAATTTGTCCTACTCTTTGAAATGGAGCTGGATAGATGTAAAAGAAAAGCTTTCAAAAGGTATTCCTATCCTAACAGGAAGTAAAAAATGGAATAGGGAAGGAATAACGATGGAATGGAATCCATGGAATAACGATGAAAAAGTTAATACATTCATATAAATATACCATTTATATCTTCAAGCTTGGGCAACTTCCTGTGCAGCTTTTCTAAGAATGAATCTCTTAATTGGCTTATTTATATATAAACCAGCTTCAACACCTCCATGGCTCCTGGAGCTTTCCCTTTTCTATTTGACAGTGATCAGTGTAACAATTGGTGAGCATTGTTGGAAGAAACCCATCCTGTCGTTCTCTCCCATTAGTCCAGGGAGTTTAAAAAATTGAATAAGCTGCATTAACCTAAAATAATTACAAATAGAATGTTACAAGTAATTTTTTTTTAAATTTATTTTTCTACCAAGACACTAGGATTAATTTTTCATGCTATTGAGTGTACTGTTTAAGCATGCACTTTCTGATAACTTTAAGACAGCCGTAGACTTTTGCTGGAACAATCTTCTAATTGATGGGTTTTGACCCAGCTAACAAGCCTTCTCAATGCATTGTTGTCCTATGGCATTATTTACCTTCTGTGGTTTTACTTTACCTCTGATGTTAGCTCAACCAGTTCTCATATGCTAGCAGTTTGCTAAACACTCTCAGCAAAGAACGTACTTCAGTGCCCGCTGTTTTAAACAATATTGTTTGCTCATTAATCTTTCAAATTTCCTGTCTCTTTACTTTCCCCTTGAAATCATCTTAACTATTAATGAATGTAAGATTCTGGATCTATGGATCTTGTGCAGAATCTTGTATGTGCAACCATGTTACTCTAAATGCTACTTTGTGGTATTTGCATGTGTACTAAGAAAAAATATGTAGTTTTTGCGTAAATTTGTTTATTTGTGTATGTGATGATGACATTTTATTTGTGGCAAATATAAATTAGTGACATGACCATGTATCACACACAAATTTAATTTTTGTTCTTAGAATGGGTTTTGTTTTCTTAATGTGTAGGTTTTGATCAACATGCAGCTCATGTGTGGAGACCCATGCTTTAAAACGTAAGTCTGTAAAAAAAAAAAAAAAAAAAAAAAATCAAAAAAAAAAAATCTGTGTGGGATAGTGTTTTGGTCACACATTGCATGTTCAGAATTATACTTCTAATTTGCATTTATAGATTTCTCTAATCTGGCACCAAAATTAAAAAAAAAAAAGGGGGGGGGAAGCACAAAAAAATGGGATGGTAGCTGAATAATGGCTAACATGCTAAAAATAAAAATAGAAGTATCATAGTTCTCCTTGCTGTTAAATAGTACTGTACAGCCTGTATATCTATAAATAAAAATAAAAAACAAGCAAACAAAAAAAAGCCCCAGAAAACAAAACAAAACACTTCCAGGAAGCTGTTCATACAGCAAGCTTATCTAAATATACGTGGTATGGGGTGATCTGACTAATAGTTGTGTTTGGAACATGTCCTGTTAAACCTTTTATTCACAAGTCTCAGATGATTCTAAAAAGATTTATTTAAAAAAACCAACCAAACAAAAAAAAACCACAAAACCCAGAAGTGTGATATGACTTAGTACAAGAGAAAGCACTTACAGATATTTAGTTAGCAAAGACATTATGCAACTTATTAAAAGATGCAAGAGGTAACATCTGAGGGGGCAGGTAACTAGGAAAATATATTGCTGTATACTCATGATCATTTGGCTTCACTGTCCTTAGCCTGTAGTTACGGGAATGTAATAGTTTTGCTAGAGCACATTAGCTTCCATAACTAACCACAGGACAGAAATATCAGGCATGCTAGGGAAAAGCCTACTAAGATGAAATTGTTGCCTTCTTTCTAGACTAATCAGCTATTTTGTTATAAGGCACCCAAGCTTAGTTTAACTGAACTGAAACAGTGCAACTGGCAAGCTTCCTATTTCTGGACAATGTCACTATCTTGCTTACCATGACTTAATTATCCTTATCAGTATGAAGTGAAGAACTCTAAGATGTAATTTGTATTATAAGAGATATTTTATAATAACCTAAATGCCATTAATTTTAAGGATAGACATGGAGATGTATAAAATCTACTTTCATGAATGCAGTGTGGAAAATTCCTCAATATTTGCTAAGACTTCTAATGCCCCTGCTTTTCTGTAATTTAGAATGTAGGTAGACTGGGTTGTTTGAAGTGTATGTGCTTTTCAGTTTAATGTCAATCTTTTCTAATTCTACATGACAATACATGGCAATTTTGTCTAGATCAGATTTAAACCAACTTAGTTGTATTTTACTTGTCACAAGACGTTTTGGGGAGGCATTGATGAAATACTTCCGTCAAAATAAATTTGATCCCTTAAATTCTAGTTTAACTCAAATTTCCTTCAGTTCATTTCATTGACCACATTGTTATACTGAAACTAGCAGGAGATAGAATCAATGAGAGGACATATTTTCTTCCCACAACATGGAACTAAGCTGTGCAACTTCTTGCTATTGCACACTGCGAATACTAAAAGCTCAAAAAAATAATTAAGACTAATTCCTGAATTAAAACGTTATTTAAGGATATTAAGTATAAAACACCTTATGAGGCTCAAGAAAAATATAAGCTACAGATGAGGAGAGGCTGGAAGAATATTCAGGAGGTACATTATTATGTGCGCCATATTCTCTTGGCATCTGTTGTTTGCTGCTGACGGAAACAGGATGCAAGCCTAGAGAGATCTTTGGTCTGAGACAACGTGCTTGTTCTCATGTTAGCCCTTTCAAAAACAACCTAAGGCAGAATTCCAAATATTACATATAACTTGAAAAGAAAAAATGAGCTTAAGGAAAACAATCTGGAAAAAACTGCTAGCTTCACCCTTGTTATGTCAATCTCAACTTTTTCTGTAGGTTCTGAACTTTCATTTACACTTTCAGACTTTATGGTGGATCAAAGATATCTTCCACTGTAAAGATACAGTGCTTGCTTACAAACCGCTACACTTTTACTTCAGTACAGACTCATGGTTTTTAATCAAAACAACATAATAAAGTGATTTTAAACTCCTCTTTTATCACATTAATGTAGGCAATCAATGTCTCTCAATAAACCAACAAAGAGGAATAATAATCTCTAACAGGTTTAATCTGTAGCTGCAGACATATACTGTGTACATCACTGCTGTGGCTGTATCCTTACCGTTGTTTCTGAGGCGATCCGAGAATGTTGCCTGAACCAGTCTAGCCCAGATGATTCACTTGCAGGCACTCTTCAGCATCCCCCTGCACCAGTAAAGGCCCTTTCTCCTCTCTTCTTCTAACCTTCAGTAAGAATAGAACAACATAAAGTCTCAACTTGTGCATACTGAATAATTAGTAAGAGGGTATGATCTGAATTTGTTTGATTGGGCAAAGCTTTTCTGTATGCCTGGTTATTTAGCACCTCTTGGTTTGAGTCAGACCTATTAACAAATCATCACTGATACAGATAAACAATTTCTCAAAGGCAACTAACCAATCATTAGTCTTCTATACTAATAAAACAGTGTATTTCTGTTCCTTACTGGCTGGTACCAAATTAGTTGAAATTAGTACCTAAATAGTTTTCTGGTTCCCTAGGAAAAAATCTGTAACTGAAATTATTCAGACTTGGCATTTTCTTCCAAAATGATGATATAACCGTTTCCTGGAATGTAAACTTTCAACACAAACCGAACAAAAAATTTATCCAATCCAGATGTTCTTTGCAGAAGGAAAAATAAACCTTAAAACAATTTCACAATCAGGAATCAGCTACATAATCTATGAAGAAGCCTAAAAGGGTTGGTGTTTGATCTGGGGTGACATCCCTGAAAGCATTCAGTTCTTGCTTTCAAAAGTATGTTAGGCAGTTAAGTCAGGCAACTGTTATTTCCAGAAGTGCTGCTTCTCCTTCTCTTTCTTTCCTTACTTTCAAATATATCATGAGGGGATACACTGTTGTACATAAAGACAGTGACTAATCTATTGAATATGTAAAATTTTAAAATGTCATCAAATATCCATTTGTATGCAGACCAACAGTTTGTTTGCAAAATCAAAAATAACAACGCATTAAAAAACCCTCTATATAACATCTGGAAATGTGTTTTAATTGTATTTGCTTGCAAGAGAAGGTTACTTTGACGTTGTCATTTTCTAATTAGCTTCTTTTGCACTAGCAAAGCACAAACTTAGATGTTTATTTGTTTTAATAAATTATCCCTTTGGTCTTGGTATAAACTGAAACAAGCATTTAAGCTTTATGAAAAGCTCTTTAAACACTGAACCAAATATAAATTGTTATATGCGATGCTTTTTTTACTTTGCAGGAGGTAGAATTTAGACAGGAATTCATGGAGATGGTAACATAGGCCCCTTCATTAGGAGTGGGAGGGTTACCAGCCCAGAATATTCTCATGTACTGTAACAGAGATGAAACAAAGCTAGGAGTACATCACAGTGCACAAGCCAAGTAGGCCAACTGTTGCTGTGTGAGTTGTTTTTTTTTTTTTTAATTTACCATCTTGCAATGTATTCCATGAAGGACCTATATTCTTAACATAAAAATTATCCTGTGATTCATACACTTAAAAAATTAAGAACTTCAAAATAAACACAGATCACTCCACTAATCATCAAAATAAAAGAAAAGCCTTTCCAAGGATTCCCCAGAAGCCTGAAGGACTGAGGCCTGAGCAAATGGATTTTCTAAATGCCCTGATGCTCAATAGCAAACCTTTTTTTTTTTTTTTTTCCAAAAGAGGGGTAGGCAGCATGTTTTACAAGCCTATTAACTTGGCATATTTCATGCTGTGCTTCAACTTCCTTGAAAAGAAAAATGTGTGCTGATCAATTTGGAGGAATTACAGAAGAAGTACAGCAGACCTTAACCACCTTTCTCTTACAGGCCTCCTTCCACAGCAACGTCTATAGCAATTGCTGGAGAATCTGATTCTTTGCATGAAGACAGGAAAGGTGGAGAAAACTTAAAAGTAGTACATCTGGGCATAGCAGGTATAAAATAATGCTCTTAGTTTCTCATTTCTTTTATAAGTGGCTTCATAGCTTCAAGGAGATGTGCAAAGTACTTCAGATCTTAGAGTTGATGACAGTTGGCCCACAAAGGTACCTTCTTTGGTTATTTGTTGAGACGCACTCTCCTAGATAGTGGAATCTCTCATTTTTATGCTTGTAACAGTTTATTTAATGGAAAGAAAAAACAGAAATTGGACTGATAGCCTGTCTTCTTTTTAACATTTAAAATCTTTCATTTTCTGTGTGACACATTTCTTGATTTGCTTTGGGTTTGTATTCTGACTGGGCATTTAATTTGGCCCTTCATTTTCAATTTATGAATCACAGGGATCTGTATAACTGAGTGAATTTTGAATGGTAAAAGTCTTAAATATTGTTTAAAATTGAAGTTGTTACTCTGAAATTTAGACTAGAAAAATAAATACTAAAAAAAGACTTTATTACAGGATGAAATTTGGGGATCTTTTGTTTCTTTGGGGGGGCCTGTGGGGAGGATGTTTACAAGCTTCAGGCTCTTACAGAGTTTATTAATTTCTACCCTAAACACAGCTTACGTTGTCTTAACCACAGATACATTTTCAGCCAGAAAACATCTAGCATGCTATTCTGCTACGGTACTATGGAAAGCACTGTAATCTCTTCAATGTCTACATTGAAATCTAAAAATACATTTCATACAAATTTTTCTAATCCAGTGGTTCCTCTGTTTTATTCAGACAGAAATATATTATGTTTTCTTTTTTTTTTTTTTAAAGGAATGTGTATTTGTTAACATACATGGTATTTTTGCAGCGCTTGAATCTTCAAAGGGTTTGTAGAAAACCAGTGTCAAGTCCCTAATCCCTCTGGGAAATCTGACATTTGAGTCTAATCAAGTTTACAGACAAAGTAATAACAAAGCTGGCTTTAGCAACAGTATCTGACTTGCACGTGTTGCAGATGTCTCATCAAAGAGTGCCTCAGTCCCCGAAGAACTTGGTGCATGTGGACATTCCAGGACATCAAGCTATGCAAGTCAGCAGTCAAAACTGTCAGGTAGCTGTTAACAATTGTGTAATGAATTGTTGGGGTTTATTTACTTTCAGCTTTAGAGCGTAGGAAAGTAGTATACTTTATACATTTAAAAAAATGGTTTGAAGCTGAAAGCTTTTTCCTGGGAGTTTCAGATGTGGGGAGGGTAACATTTTTTTCCTTTTAAAAGCACAATGAATTATCTGTTGGGATGTGAGACAGCTTTTTCCCTTAGTGCCTTCCAGTTAACATATCTGAATGAGATTTTTACCTCTTGTAAAAACAAGTACTTTGCAAATGGAGACTAAAAGCTGAAGGGGGAGTAATGACATCAAGTCGTCATATTTAATAGGAAGCAAGAGTTATTTAGAACAAAAAGAAACCATCATGTGCTAGAATACAAAACTTGAAGTGAATTGCCTAGTTGGTGCATGCACATACATTCATAATGCTTTTGAAGTCTCTCTGTAAGAAGACAAAACATAAATTCTTCTTTCAGGATGGTAAGATACAAGTAATGACCTTGACTGTCAAGAACATACCTAACCTCGGTCTCCTGTGCTTTCTCAACAGGATATAGCACATGTCACTCTAGATCATCCAGTCTGTCTGAACTGTGCCACAGGAGAAACACCTCGGTGGGTAGTACCTCAACAGGAATTGGAAGTATTCTAGAGCCATGTGAAGAGACTGAGCCAAAAGTAGCAGAAGCTAGTATTAATACATCTGTTAAAGATGCACCATCAGAAAAACTCTGCAGGTACCCTTGAAAGCCTTATCTAGCAGAAGTAAAATATAATTTACTCTGTTACTTCTAAGAGCTCTAAATATTTATTTTTGCAGACATCCTGTAAAGCAAGACTCTGTGGAGTCACAGCTGAAGAGAGTCGATGCTACCAGAGTTGATGCTGATGATATAGTTGAAAAAATACTCCAGAGTCAAGACTTCAGTTTAGACTCCAGTGCAGAAGGTACGGAGATAAATAAGCAGCTTAGGGAAAACTGATGCACATTACAGGCCTTAGGAAAATCTACTCTCTTCATAGTCCTGTTGTTTGTAATCATAAGGACTGTGCATATGGATCACTGCATTTTCTGCTCAATCCTGTCTCCCAAAAGTGGAAAAGACCCTTGCATGACTGAGTTAAATTTCCCAGATAATTATTTTAAGCCTAAAAGAGCAGGGGCAAATCTGCAATGAAGGTAGTTCCTCCAACCTATACCATGTGAAGTTTGGTTCTTCGTTACATAAAACACCTGCATCTGAAAGTATCAGTTATAAAAGTGGTAGATTTAAAATTACTTAGTTTTAGCTAGGGCAACATTAAAGGAAACTAACACATGTTAATTCCCTTGCTTTTTAGAAGAAGGTTTAAGATTATTTGTAGGCCCTGGTGGAAGCACTTCTTTTGGAAGCCACCATCCATCTAACAGGTATGTAACCTGAACAATTAATCCATAGCTAGTACTAAATGAAAATGGATCTTATACAGCAATTACTCTGTATATACATTCTTGATCTTTTTATCTTTCTATTCTGTATCATTTAAAAGTACCAAAAGAACTAGATTGTCAAATTTTAAAACATATAGGTTAGTTCCAAAGTTTTCATGTATGAGCAATGTTTCAGTATGGAAACAGAAACCAGTTTGATTACTTAGCTCTACAGACTTACAATGTTACTCTTCGGAGCTGGAGGATAATCTTAAATTTTACATATCTACCCTTACAGTATCAAACTTACATGTCTTCCTGAAAACAAGCCTCATTTTCTTCAGTTTTTCTTACAACTCCTTCTGTTTCCACATGTTACACTATTCCTGTTTCAAGGGCTTGTTCATCTTTCAACTATTTGTAGCCCTGAAATCTCTCCTTTCATAATCTGGTTCAGATTATGTTTTTGTAGTTGTTTTAGAACGAGAGAGATATTTTTCTTCTATAAACCTTCTTCAAATACTCTGATATATGACTTGACCTGAATCTATTAGTCTTTTTAGATGAGAAAACATTAAAAACAGTCCAGTGTAACTATTAAGATTTTTCTTTATCTCAAGAAATTAGCACAGCATCAGTATTTCATTAAGTACTTCTGGAATTACGTATAAAGGCATCAGATAATGTGTTGACAGTTAAAAATTAATGCATTTTACGCAAACAGTACTGACAATTAAAAGATAATTCATTGGTTTACTTGCAAACTGGGCGCACTAATTTCTGTCTAGGATAATGTGTATGGTTACAGACCACACTACAGCAGTATACAGAGATCTGTCCTAATTCAGTTGCCAGAATATTATACTAAGGCAGAGCTTGCTCTGTTTATTTTCTACATAGTACTGCAATGTGCCATGTAAAACAACGCACTGTGTTGTGTTATGTGGGGGGTAAGAAAGTTTTATTTACAATTCAGCATGAACAAAAGACTGGAGGACATTTTTCCTGTATCTTAACATAAGACTATCGCTGTTCTTTAGACACATTTGTTTATGTATAAACCTATGTAAAAAGTATTAGCTACATATGATATAGCTGGGGTGGGAGAGGTATGCAAAAAGCAATGTTTAAGGAACGAGGACCAACAGTAACTTCTTTTTCAGTAACACTATTTATCGTTCTTCATTTTTACTGTAATATAACTTACAACACATTCAACTGTAGGTTACTCAGTGGCATGGTAATTACGTATGTTTTCTACCCTTCACATGTAGCTGTTCTAGTACTAGCTGTTTGGTTGGGGGTTTGTTGTTTTTTTGGGGGGGAGGGAGGAAGCTGGTTGTTTGGGGTTTTTTAAAATGGTAAACTTGCTGATCTGTGATATTTGCTGTTTAGCTTCCATTTAAATTGGAATTGAACTAACTTCTTTCTTTCAAATGTTCTTTCAGAGTAGGATCTGGAGCATATGAGCAGGTGGTGATAAAACGTTAGACTGGAATGACAAACAAGAAGAAAACTTGGAGCTCTGGCATTGATACTTCTGCTTTTGTTTGCTCTGCTTCAAGAGTTATGAAAGCCAAAATGAACTTGATGTGATCTTTTTCTGAAAAGAAATGGAAAGTGTCTTGCTCCGAGCTGCTTATTCTGTGGTATGAAGGCAACATGTAGCTATGTATTTATTCATTGTAAGGTTGAACAGTAGAGGTGAACTTCACATGCATTTTAAAAAAACCCAAACTAACTAGATCTAAACCAGCCTGCAATAAGTTGTGCTAACTCTAAATGAAATCTAGAGGCTTAAATGCATCAAAAGTGACATCTGGTTTTGTGCAAGTGACAAAAGAAGTGGGATTCCATATCAAAATACTAAGGCACAGTAGTGTATTATCAAGAAAGCTGGCTTGATAGTTAAATCTGGAGTTCAAAACCTGCTTCCCCAGAAACTCACTTCAATAATGCATGAACCTTGAGATTCAATGGGGTGGTACTGTTTACAAACCTAGTCAGTAGTTTACTACCACTTAGAACTTTTTATTGTAGCTTAATTGGTCACAGTTAGTGCTTTGCTTGTGTTTTGAATGTGCCTTGCAGGATTGGGGAGGTACAAGTAGATTAAACTATTTACTAAGCAATTTGAGCTTTAAAACTAGGTAAACATCTATACTATAATCAATATAACTTATTAAGAGACGCACTTTATTGTATATATACTCTGCACTCTGAAAAAGTCTTACTATGTAACAGATTTGTTGAACACTTTCTTAACTATCTGTCCACTGTTACATTAAGGTCTATGTACTGTATTTAAATTTGCACAAATAGTGATTTGCCTGACAGGCAAGAAAGATGAAAGATCTCTTAAAATTTTCATCAAGAATTATGGAAGGATAATTTTAAAGGGATATGTTAGGTGACACAGTTCCAATTCAGGCTTGGCTCTGCTGTATTTAATTGTAAACTGCAAATGACCTTAATTTTGTTTTGATTAGTTGTACTGCTTATCTGTAAGGCTGGTATTAAAAATACATACAAATAGCGTGGCCATTTCCGAAAGCTCTGAATTCTGCTCAGGGTCATGTTTGACACCCTTTTATTCAAGTATAAGTAGGCCCTATTTAATAGACTAAATTAGGAAAAGCAGGCTTTGGTATCCATAAATTCATCGTATAATTATTAAACTAATTTTTATTTCTCTATTTACAGGAAATTTCAGATTATAAAGCTTGAATACTCTTACTGAATATGATGAACATGAGCTATTTCTCAGTTATGGTACTTAAATATTTTTATTTCTTACTGTTAATTATAATCTCTTTAAAGTGTTTAATGGGTAAAAGAATTAATACAAAGATTATATTTTAGCTGCTGTTAATAGAAGTGTGGTATTATTCACTTCTGTCTTCCACAGGAATTCTGAACAGAAACTACAACTGCCAGTATCCAACTCTCTCTCAAAACACCATAGTTTCCTTTCCTGTTATGTAACTAATTTATACCAAAAAAACCCATACTGCAAGCTAAAAGATGCATGAAATCTGAATAAATTAGTTGCTTTCAGTACTTTTTAACACTGCTTCACTTGTTGACAAAGCTATTAAAACCAGTAGTAGTTAGGTGGTAGCTTACTTATTTCCCAGGAACAAATAGGCATAGTTTGAGGAAAACAGACTTTTAAAAAACATTGTACAGCTACTTATGTAATTCTTAAGGGAATTTCCATAGCCCAGATTTGTGTTCTATGTTAATAAAACACAACTGACTGCCATAGATTAGATACTTTGTTTACTAGAAATGAATTCATCTGAGCAGATCTTTTAAATAAGAGAGAAGTTTACATAGAAATCAAGCTTTTAATAAAACTGTATCCCAGTAATTTATTGTTCTAAGTTACAACTCTATCTGAAGTGATTCTCTAGTTGTACACATTTTAAGTGGAATATAACCATCATATTTAGATGTAGTATTTTATTTTTTGTGAAATGTGTTATAATACTGGAGTATCTCATAATAAACTGTTCAGGATATGTTGGTGGTTTGTTGTTCTGGGTTTTTTTAACTGTATTTAAATGTAAATCTCTCAGACATTCAACACATTTGTGTGTTCAGCTTGAAATTGTTTCTAAACAGTTATGACTTGTTTTTAATGCACAAATGACAAATTTAACTGGAGGTTTGTGTTTATTTCAGTTTCTTTACTGCTTTTCAAACTTTGTGTCTGCAGCTTATTCAACTCCATCTACGGTCCACAAAGTATTTAATGGCACTGTTACTTGTACGTAGTTATTTGTCTCCTGGAGAGGAAAAGTAATGTCAGTCTTAGGCAAATGAAAAATTGATTTTAAAATATGAGGCATACTGACAGGTTATTAAGCAGACTCCACAACCAGCACTACTTGGGAAAGTGAGGGCACTGGGTATAGCTCCTCCTGACTCGGCAAATGACAAAATTCATCCTCCTCAGTTGAGTGTAAAGACTTACTACTACCTATGCTTTTCATACAGTTTATATAACTTTGTAAATCACCTTATTTTCTAACAAAACTACATGTGGTATGTATTTCTTCTCTCATCAATGCACACAAAATAACCAAGCTTTCTGGTACTGCAGTAAGCAATTAATTATATAGTAAGGATTAAGAGAAGCAACTGTACCATGTAAAACCAACTCCAGTCTCAGCTGTCTTGCAATTCAGAAAGGAAGACAATTCTTCCAAAATTTTGGCAGCATATCCTCGAATTTCTTGTGTGGGTTGTTCCCTCCTGGTTTTATGAATCAACAATTTCCTTACAGAATAAAAGGCCAATCTCAGCAGCAACCCAATCCTCCAGTTAAGGAACTCAGAGTGGATATTTCTCTAACATATATAAGGTATACATGTATATACATAAAACATTCATAGATGCTAATCAGCTGACTGAATATTAGCAAATGTAATCACTAGAGAATTTTTTTTTTAATGCTTTGCTTTTTCTACTTCTGCACTTTCACACAGGTTTAGGGGCATATATGTTGTAAGTAAGATATGTCATTTAGACACAGTTCTTTCTTAATCTGGAAAGAAAACATCTCATGAATGAAAATAAGGCTATGCACCACTGTTGCATACACATCTGTAATATACCAAGGCAAAACCATTATTGTGGTATTGGAAAAGATTTTCCTTTACTACTACAGAACAAAAAAAAAAAAGCAGAGATATGACGTACCAGAACTTTGACTGCTGTCATTGAACAGTTAAGTGCATTTGATGGACCTTCTGACATGAGAAAATACCACAGAGACAAAGATCAGCATAGGAAAAAAAGGACCTTCTATCATTCCTGAGGCAAAGTAAGTTTTGCCTTCTCCCCACCTAACTGCTCATTCTTGCCTGCTCTCCTCTTTGTTACACCACTGCACGTTTCTGTGGCAGATCAGTGGATTGAGTTCCCTGTATGGCCTCACAGCAGGATCTGCCAACAAGAAAGGGAAAGGCAAACACATCTTAATACATTTGTTAACATTTCTGTTGGATGGGTTATTTTTATTGCGTTGCTTTCTTGTTAAAAATGATAAATGATTAAGTAACTGGGTGGTTTTTTTCTTTTTTTTTTATGTGAAGGCAAATCTCTTACCATACACTAGCAGAGCTTTGCCCGAGTTATATGCACTGCTCTTCCAATCGTAACTAAAATTGTTCATAAACTTGTAAAGGCAGCACTAGTTTTTTGGGGTTGTTTTTTTTTTTTTGTTTGTTTGGGTTTTTTTGTTTGTTTGTTTGTTTGTTTTGTTTTGTTTGTTTGTTTGTTTTTTTTTTTAATTGCCTCCTCTTATGATCCACTAATATTTTCCCAGTAGCCTCACTGGAACATAGGCTAGTGGCATAACATTTTATTTTGGGGATGTTCCCAGTGAACTGCTTGCATACAGGACTGCATTAAAGGTGTTGGGTTTGTGAATGAGGAAGAAAACGCAAAGGACTTTTACATAACAATTTTTCTATCCTTTCAGAAGCCCCTTCCTATGTTTTTTTCTACTCAGTTTAAGCAGAAAACCAAAGAAGTCCCAACAACTAAGCATTATGAGTTACACATAACCCAGCAGAACTGAATGATCCAAACCTCATTGATCAACGTAATGGTAACAAGCATGCCATAGAGCCTAATACCATGGGAACCCATGGGAGACAGGACTGAAACACATCACAATTTCATCAGCTGTGAGAACTATTTGTTTGAGAAAACTCTGTGGAGACAATTAACTCCTCAGGCTCTTACAATTAGGTAGCTGAGGGTTTTTTTAATTAAAGTAAGTGAGAGGGTATTTTTAGAATTTATTTATACCACTTCCTCACCTTGTTATTATTAAAACACTGATCAGAAATGTTCTGTTCAGCTATTCTGACCACAGACAATCCCTACTAACTTGCTCAATAGCTATCACATTATTTCCCTTATATTCAGGACACTGCAGTGTTTTTTTTGGTTTTCTGGTGGTTTGGTGGTTGTTGTTGTTTTTTTGTTTGTTTTTTTTTTTTTAAATCTACTTTATTTGGATTTTATATTTTTGAACAACCCAAGGTTGTTCTGTTTTGAGATGTGTGTGCCACCTCCTGGTCAGTGATATTGCCACATGCAGTCTAAAACATTTCATGTTTATAAACATCCCTTCAGCATCCTGATTTAAGACATCAGAATTGACCTTAGTTTCAAAGTACAGGTTTAAGTAGGACACAATAAATACTGTGTTTATTCACAAATATGCATAATAGTTTAATGAAAAGACCAACCTCATAATGAAGAACTATGCACAGTGAATCCCATGAAAGGGTTTAGCTGCTCCTGAAAAGACAGTTACTTCAGTACTTTAAAGAAAATCTTAATTAAAATTGATATAAGCCAGTGGAAACCTAGAAAGCTGACAGATGAAACAGCATAACTTGTTTTAGTAAAAGCTAACAGTCTCGATTAAAATCTATATATTCTAAGTAGTACTTCTGTCTATGATAATAGCTTCTTCAGTTTCAGTACACATACTAAGAAACACTATGAACACCTAGGACCAAAAATCTGCAGTTTGACTTTCAGATTTTCCCCAGGAAAGGCATAAGCAACAATGTAAGAATTGATATTTGTTCTAGCTATCATTAAAAACTAAAGCCTGTTACAAAGCAGGGGAAAAGAATCCATGTACCCCTTAAAAATTGGATTACTGTTTAGGTCCCTTGACATCAGTCCACCAAATATTCACATAAACAGTTTTCCAAATGTAGCAACAAAGCCTTAGGGTATAATGCTTTGAGGAAAAACAAGTATGCATTTGTATACAGTCTTGCCTATTCACAAGACATTCCTGTAATTAGATGTTACCTGAATACAAAATTCAAGGCAAATATCATTCAAAATCTGGCAGGTTTTCAGTCTCTTCCCTTTTCCTTATTTTAAAACAATCATGCTATAAAGTACACTAAAGACACAATGTTTTGAGAAGAAACAGCACTGGAAGAAGTTCGCTGGTCCAAAAATCTTCTAAACTATTGTGAACCATACAGTGAACTTCAAAGATATTTTCTCATAACAAACCAATGCTACGCTCAAACAGCTATGCTTATTAATGTCCAAAGAATATTTACCAATTCTCAATTTTATGCATTTTTTTAACATACCAACTATGGCAAGTTCACATCATGTCAAAACAAGTGAAACCACTCTACATATCATATTAAAGATAAATTTGAATTAATTCTTAAAATTAAGTATAAATATTGTTACATTAGTCTTTAATACTCCATGCCCATTTACTGTAGGAGAAAAATTTCCCACAGAAGACAAGGCTTATTAAGCATTTTCTTAACTATTCACTATGACAGAGCGCTGCTGCTCGTTCTTCTTTCCCTGGAATTTGACCTGTTCCAGATTCTGTACCATTTCTCAATCCAGAGAATTACAGCTGACTTTTCCTTTTATGTCTGATCTTTCACCTTAATCACTTCAAGTGATTTTAAAAAATTCAGAAGGTAGAATGCAGTCACATTTAAGAAACAGTCAGCCCTTACACAGAATTTTTTATTTTCAGAAAGTTGTGAAACTTTCATATTTGACAAACATGAAGTCAGTTCTGATAATACTAGTTCATTGAAAGCTGCCAATAGCATTGTTAAACATGAATAGGCCTTTTAATTAACCATCTTATTATTCATAAGAAATATTCAGTTGAGATACTAAAATTATTTTAAAAATTTGGGTATGCAAATAAACTTGAAAAGTACTGCAGTGTATTGCTTCATTAATCTTGTATGAATAAGCCAATCTTGTGCATCCTTAAAAATTCCTGTCTTCATAAGCCCATCATCTAACATTTGTTTACAGTGCATTTACACATACAATTCAGCCCTACTTAAGAAAAAGTCATCTTGGCCAAGCCATAAGCTCTACTATCTCGAACACCTATGCTTTTCATTTCTGCTGAATATGTTGTCAAGACTTTTTGGACAACAGCTGCATGTGAAAACAAAGAATTTTTTTTACAGGTACACTGGGAACTGGTTAGCATTCATGACAGATTTTTTTTATTTATTCAAAAACAAAACACAGATACCAGTTTCAAATTAATTAAATTCAGCTTCTGGAAAAGTTACAGGATGCAAGTTATTTCCCAAGCAGCAGTTACCGAGAAACTGGATAAAACAATAGGGCCAGATCAACCTTTTTTTCCCCACCTTATATCAAACATCATGGCACTCTTCCCCACTATTGAATTTACTGAGCTATAAATGTTTGTGGCATATTCCAATTTGTTTGGAACAGTATTTGGTTTTCACAACAGCTGAGTATGTACTCATCTTGAAAAAGGCATCTATATTCTGTTCGGAAAGAACTTGACCTAAACCTACGTCTGACTCATTATTCAGGACAACAGCATAGTCCTGTGTTATCATCAACTATCCCTGGAGCTAACAAAAGATTACCAAAAAGAATGTAGTCATGATACCTACAATATGGTAATAGAAAACAAACAGAAATACTTAAAATTTTTCTTCACAGGAATTTATTCTTTCCTTTTAGCCCCCAATACTATATTTCAAAGCCCTACAAGTTTATTTGGTGCTTGTCAAAAGCACTCATGTTCCCTCAACAGGAGAGATGCTGATTGATAAATACTGGAAGGTTTAGAAAAAAAATTGTGGTTCTAGTTAGCATACAGAACACACCATGTGACAGCTACTAAAAAAAAATACTTTTATTACTTTAACTGAACTTTGTATGAGAAATCTGTGATCTAATTCTCTTCATTTTCATGTTCAATATTGAACATTGCAGCAGAACCATCACTGCTCAGTGTGACCTTGCCAACAATAAGCTTGCATAACTTCTCAAAGGTACCACAAAGTTGATTCACTTTGGGAAAAGAAAAGATTGTTCTAAGAGGTATATAAACCGTATTTCCACTGACAAATGGCTCCAAGCTTTTGTCAACAACCAGTTTTCCAAGATCTTCTGAAAAACAGTTCACTGAAGGTTGGAATTTGGATTTTCTCTCAGTAGTATCATCACTATACTCCTCACGTTCTGAGATTAAACGGTCCAGCAGACTTCGCTTGATGATTTGAGCTGTGAAAATAACTTCACCAACCACTGCATTCTGCAGGTACTTCTCATCTTTAAGACTTGGATACACGGCTTTGAAGACCTTTACAACATACAAGAACACATTAAATGTTTATCATTATCACAGACTCAGATTTTAACATCTGTTGTTAAGAAGAGCTTCTAAAAAGTGAATATAATTTTTGACTCAATCCTGTTTTGCTTGTTAAACATTTTCAGATAGCAGAAAAACTATACAATATGACTTTATGTATTACAGCTAGAATGGCAGATAGGTAAGTAAACAGAATTAAAAAAAAAAAAAAAACAGGCTTATATCTGCAAGATATACTTGTGAATCGGGCAAGGTGAAGCCCTGCAATTCTTTAATTCTTTTTAATCATTCTCTCACTTCCCACATTACTCATCGTGAGACTCTGGTGACAGTTCTACAGCTATGTAGGTTCTAAACTACTTCCAAACTGTTATCTGGAAACTGGGACTGCAGCTATATCTTTCATTCTGTTTTACAAATAAATATTAAATATGCTCTTACAGATGCAGAGAATTCTAAAAAATTAATTGTAACATCATGATTGTGAACCTTTAGTGTGTTCTACACTGAGCTATACTCCAAGGCACTTAAAGAAACTAGTCAGGCAACCTCATACCCATTAGTTTACTAGGAAGTGCTTTATACCAACATGCTGCCACTGAAGTTCCACAGTCTATACCTGTTACTGCTTTCTGAATATGTCTTGAAATGTTGATTCATTCCCGCAAGGTTGTTACACAATAAAATAAAAATTAATTTGATAGTCCAAGTTTGATAAGAAACACATGATATAACACTCTTGTTTAAACTCAAGCGGTAGTTACATCAAAACTCCTTCCTTAATGACCCTGTAACAGAATGATGGCAATTTCTAGTACATGTCAGTCACCTAGACATATTTCCAAGTTTGCTGAGTACTGAAGAGCACTTGACAATTCTATTAAGGGCAGTAGATGACAGGCGAAAGTTTAAATTTATAGAATGTCTTTATAGCTTGGAAACTATGAAAGGCAGGTCACAAGTTACTTGAAGATACATATGTATCTTTAAAGAAAGAAGTGAAATATGAGAGTATGTTCACTGAAACAAATAATTTAAAGCCTTGTAGAATTGGAAAACAAAAATCAAATATATTTCTCTTTCTGCATTTTCATGTTATCTGTGGAAGAAAAGTCCTTTGATTTATACACTGCATTCAGATGCATTAGGCTTTGTCAGTGTGACACACTGCAACACAGCAGAGTACTTCACAAAAATATTATCTGATATTATCTGAAGTGAAAGCCATTTACTGCTAAAAACCAGAAGGTTTGATGCACACCACCAGATAATGGGGTACTTAGCAAAATCCCATGCCTGTGCAAGAACCAGCACTGGCTACCTAAAACCACTGAGATTAGGGTGTAACATCAAATGTTACTGAGTAAGGCAAGCCACACAAAACAGCTCCTGTCAACTCAGTTTCTCGGAAGCGCCTTCCTTCTGATAATATACTTGACAAGACTATGTAGTTCTTCAAAACATACACTCTGTTAGAAATGCTTTTTTATGTTTTTTATTTTTTATCTATCTGAAAAATGTGTGTCAGCATCAACAACCACAATGAAAAAACTAATTATTAGAGGAACAATTATAAAAATAGTGTCACAGTATAGTGGCAGAAAAATTTTTCATTCTAAGGATGAATGTATGTTAAGGTAAGGATGATTATCCATACTGCTATTTAGCAAATAACCTAAAAGTTAAATGCCTTTATACAATCAGAAACACAAATCATGGACTTAAACTCTCTTGAACTGATGGTGTGCGTTAATCAGAGTGAAGATTGGATAGCAATAGGAGACCACAGTAAGAACATCTTCAGAGGCAGGTCACAGACAATTTTACTCTCTGTTCATCTTCATAAAGGAAGAAAATAATACTTACCGTTTTATAAACTGCTTCAGTGGGTTTCTCAGGCTGGGCAGATTCACTAGGTCGAGGATATTTTCTACCAAACACACCTATTTGGGTACAAAACCCAACATTCTCCATTCCTGTTGGTGGGTGCCCTACACCAGTAAATTCCACTGAGTAATCATAGCGTCTAGCAATCTCTAAAGCCCTAAGAAAGACAAATTATTTCAATCATACTAAATATTCATCTCTTTATGTGATAAAGATGCATTCTCTAACAGAAGCAAGACCCTGAGCCTGTGAGTGCTTGAATATAATTTCTCTAATAATACTCACACACCTGAAAACAAGCACTGTCAAAACTTGCTCAATCAAAGCTGTCATCATATTCCTACCATAGTCCAAATCACTTAGTATCAGGTAATTTAGGCAACCAAACATTACTGTTATTTCTCAAATATCTGCATAGACTATGCATGTTCACAGTTGCTCACTCACTGTCTTACATGTATTTAGAATGAGCTAAAAACTATGAATTTCAAAAAACAAAAATATTTGAGAACCACCCATAAAAACATACACAACTGAAAACCACAAGAAACCAGTTAATAGAAAAAATACAGAAGTGAGGTTGGTTGTAAATGTATCAAATCTACCTAATCAAGGTTGAAACAATGTACACATCTAAATGAAAACTGGTCTGTTAGTTCTGTACATCAACCAGGGTGAAAAAGCTGATGGGGCAGGAATTAAAATGGCACTACCTATCTGCATCATTCTCCATGAAAAAGTAGTAACCTAAATTAATATTTCATGTACTTTAAAGCATCTTGCAATACTTCTATTTCACAACACAAACATAAAGACTTTCTCATGGTTGCAGCTTAAAAAATACCAGTCCTTCAGTGATACCAATATTCAATATTTTTAACTCAGATATATCGAAATACAGATTCCAAATTTCCTTTCAGAGGTCGGCTTCTGCAAACCTTTCATTGTGCCATGACCCACTAAATTACCCTTACCTTTATTCAACAAGCTCTGCTACTGTAATCACTTAAGAAATCTGCTTGCATGCTCTTAGAGAAAGGTCTGGACTAACTGAGTGCTGTGACTACATACCATATATAGTGAGCACATTTCTTGGGTTTTTATGAAGCATTTCTATAGCAGGCTATTATTATGTGAAAAGGTTTATTAATATTACAATTAATGTATTTTAAGTGTAAGGTAAAGATATATAAAAATGAAAGTAGAAGTTTTAAGTATTTTTTGCAAAGCTGTTACAGTAAAAGCAAGCCAACAACCATCATAAAATGCAAAACCCACAGAGCATGCATGTTCATAACAGCAAAGAGATGTTTCACCAAATCAGTAGGTGTGAAACTCCACTGACACCAAACCACATACACATACCATTCTTAAAATGTATAGCTATTCCTTTCCCACATTACTGGACACTCAAAGCTGTCTGCATACCAAGTTCAGTAAACTTACCAGCTTTGAAATTGCACTCTGTTCCATTCAAATTTGTGGTCCGGATGCCTGAATAATTTCACTCCCGGAAGTAAAGGGTTAAATTCAGAATTTGGAGTACTGATCACAACCATGCTTGGAGCCATGAAACCAAACACCACTTCAGGAAACTTGTTTAGTTCCAATTCTTCCAGGTGCTCAATTCTGTAAAGCATAAGTTCATGTAGGTCTTGAAAAATACCCTACTATATTTTAATCTTATTGATAACCAGTCAAAAAAAACCCCAAACCTGTTATCTGTACCTTTTAATTTTAAGCCTAGGTCTGCAATATTACCACTGCCACTGCAGCTGAGTGGTAGCTTTGAGGTTTTTGTCTGAGAAAAACTGTCTCTTGCATTTTGTACTTTTTCAGCAATATCCTTTCTCCACCATAAGCGAGGACAACTTGCATTTCTTAGTACAGTTAATTTAAGTAAAAGTAAGAAGATGCCACATTCTGCTACTCTTCTGCTCGAAAGGCTTGATCAAATCTGTTTAGAGGATGGACAAAATTCCAAAATTAACCCTAAACAACTTAGAAAAATGTAGTACATTGGCCTAATACTCACAGTTCAATACAGGTTACCAAGTCAAAACCAAGCATGCAAGGATCTTTATGGGCAACTGAACCATGATGTAACGTAACAGTTAGGGATCTTTCAGCCGGTTGCAAATAATCAACAGGAAGAGGAGACAATCTATGCCTTCAAAAGTATTAAAAACACAATGTCATAAAAAGGACCTTAGGACCCTCAGGTAAATTGTGCATATAATTCAACTAATACTCTACATGAACACCTTGTTCATCTCAAAAAGGTTAACTATTTCACAGGGATTAAAAAAAAAGAAAAAAAAAGATCTAATAGAAACACTTTTTATGACTACCTGCAATATGACAGAAAGAGCAGAGGAGTTAATCCAGCAGTTGTCCTTCATGTTTACAAAAATTTCCACTATACTCTCAAGCCACTTGGAAAGCTGCTCCTAAATTCTGACAATAGCTCAACTCTAGACACACAGTACATCCGGCTTAGACATGCTTTACAAGGGTTTTGGGGAAGTTATTAGGCAAGCATATTAACGTGTTTTTTTCCAAATAAAATACTGAGACCTAAGAGTATTTCAGAATGAAATCTGCACATGCCAGACAAAACACACAATTAAATATAATAAAAGGCTACTTTTCCTCATTCTTGAGAAAGAGCAAGTGATGTCAGCATCTAGATCCCACATATTAATTGAAATCATATTAATCAGCTTCCAAGAGAGAAATTTTGGCATTCCTCACCAGTCTGACTCATGTTTCAAAGATCACATAAACTTCACATTTTAGATCCTTCTAAGTCAGACACAAAACATTGAGCTAACCTTCCCATTTAAAAAAGATTAACAAGAAAGAAGTCCCCACAGTAACACCATGTATGAACATTAACAGACACTACTAATACATTGTATTAGTACCTTTACGAACAGTGTACTACTCAGATGTCCACACCTCCAGGGCCATTCCATGACTTGGACCTTTGCTACACTAGGTGATATTATGGGCATCTATAAATCCAGTAGTCCCCAGACACAGGTGCAATGTAACTAATTACCAACAATGGATAGCTCTTCATTTGCCAATCTGGTATTTCCGCATTTACCCTCATTTTGAAATTCTTTACAAGAAATGATTTAACGTGACACTATGTCAAGCCAAATATAAACATTAAAACAACACAATGTAAGAGCTTACATTTTCTCTTTCATTACGCTTGCACAGATATCAAGGCCAGCTAACACTTCAATGCAACTGCAGAATTTCAGCATCCAGAGAAGCGTGCAGTCAGCACATCCTAAATCTGCCACCTGTAAATTACACATTAAGCAATGTGTAAATGCTGTATATTTCCAAGTAATTTCAGAGACTTTCAATTAAAATTCCATATTTATGTCAAAATAACTTCTTAATGATAAAGCATTTCATAATTGTAACTCAAATTTACAGTTGCAAGCAGGGTAGACATATATTTGAAAATTCTTTTAAAAATGCATATGAAGATCCTACAAGATGTTTTAAATGGAATAACCCTTTGTTATTACAGCTATAAACAAGTACATACAGAACATCCCATTGACTCTAGAGAAAGTCTTCCACACAAAGGCATATCCCCTCAAATAACAGTATGCTATGACTTCAACTATTAAAGCTGTAGCAATTTTCGTATTCACCACTGCTTTTCCCTAGACTCTTCTCTGTCCAAAACACTGAGATCAGTCTCACTAGCAGCCATGTTAGCAGCAAAGGATCTGCATAAAACAGGTTTATAGACTCAGTCTAACGTTTAAGCTGAAAAAGCTGGGGATAATTCGGACCACACAGTCAAATGTATAATAGATATTCTTTCCTGTAAGCTTAACAGATAGTTGAGTATGCAAACACCAAACCCGACTGTTCTTTCTCAAGCTAAATCAAGCTTGAAGCACACAGCTGGGTTCTCAGTGTGAAAATCCTGAATTGTTTCTATTCCACTTACCTCCACCTCACGGGTAAACAGAAAGTCTACCATCCCCCCCTTTTACATCCTAAATCATAAAATTCAAACCTTTAAAGACAGATGCAACACTCCTGATTACATTCTATTTAAAAGCAGGTTACAGTGCCGTGATCTCACAGACTAGATTAGAATTCTGTTAGCTACTGAAGGTATGATTATGTGAGTGCACTGCAGGCACATTTCTCATCAATTTCTTCCATGTTCTCTACGACATTAACATCAGTGTCAGAGTTAAACACTGAAGACAGAGGTATTTCTCAGGTCTTTTGCATTTTAGGAGGAGCTGCTGGGGGGAAGGGGAGGACATATTAGAAAAGAACAAACACTACATAACACTAATTAAATTATTTAACTTCTCAAAATGAGTATTGAAACAAGAGCCCTGGTATATTGGATGGCGACAAGACCTCAAAAAAGTGGAGAAGAGTTAGCCTCACATAAGCCCACACTCTTAAGGTCAGTTCTCGTCTGAGAACATCCACGTGAACCATGAGGTAAAACCTGATACCGTATACAGAACAAACAGCTCTAGAAAGCAAAACCCAACTATGATGAAAGCAGCTTGAACCAAAATCCTCAGCATTAAATTAAAACCAGAATGCCACCTACTCTCCAAAACAGGCTAAAGTGTTGTTCTTGTTTAGATTTTCCCCTCTTCCCATCAATTAATTATATGCACCCCTGAAAAATAAAACATGATCATTAAGTGTCTGCTAAGACAATTCAGTTTTAACATTAGATCCTCCACTACTCTTGTTTCATAATTAGGTCAGCAGGCTATCTACGCATCTTATGTCTTCCCGAGATACCTAATGTTAACTCTTTCCAAATTTGTAATGTAAAAAGACAAAACATACCAACCTTCTTAGGTTTGTATTTCCCCACTAAATCTTTAATGAACTGGTAGCGTTGTTTGTACAAAGGTGGTGTAAATTTAATAACTCCTGTAAACTCTTCTTCTTGAAAATTTTTATCCATAGTATTTTGCTAACGCTAAAAGATAAAAGTTAACTCTTACTTTCTGAAATACTTTATAACGTATCAAATTACAGTTTGCTGATTTTAGTGGAGTTCACAACTAAGGAGGGGCAGATCTCAGTTCTACTCAGCAAACGACAAAAACACAGGACTTAGCAAAATTAGACACTATCTGCTCCCTCCACACATAATGATGTAAACAACCTTTTAACAAAGATTTAGAAATCATATACAACTGTAAAAAAGCAACTTTTCTAATTTGTCACTTTCCAACCAGTACACCTACATAGGAATTAAACAACTGCAACATATTTAATCTTCCTTAAATTTTCTGGCAAGAACTGAAAAATAAATAATTTCTTGCTCAGGTGCCTGCTTTCTTGTCTCTCATCTATCATTTATCTTACACTTCATATCACTTTATATCTAGATTTGGGTATATATAGCTCAGTACAACTTCTATAACATCACAAGCAAGAAACATCTTAATAATTACTATGTTCTGCAAGAGTAAATGTTCGGCTAGGCCTTCACTTTAGATTTCTTAGGAGCTAAACCTTGTTATTACTACCCGGATTTTGTAAGTAAACTAACATAATTCAACATGGCATTAGTTATAACCATTAATGCATTTCCAACTCTCCCACCTTTTATTAAAAACTAGAGCTTAGCACACAAATATTTAACAAGAAATACCGCCTCCACAAAAAACAAAAAAAAAAAACAAAAAAAAAAAAACCAAAAAAAAACCAAACACAAACAAAAAAAACCCCAACCAACAAACAAGCAAAACCAAACAAAAAACCTAAACCCAAGGCCCTAATAACCGATGACTTCCATGGGAATCCCGCAGGTGAAGGCACACGGGCCCGTGGGTACACGGCTTTCCAGTGCCTCCTCCCAGGCGGCAGCTGCAGGCCCGGGCTCACTCGCAGGCCTAACAGGCACCAGGTCCAGCAAAACCAAAGCAGCTGGGCCGAGCCTGCTGGCAACTTGCCTGTCCCCTAAGATCTTTTATACATAAATACATGTTTTTTAAAATATACATGTATGTACAAAACCAAAGGCTCAAAGAGGCCGAGGAGCCCGCCATCACTCAGGGCGGCTCCCCAGCCCTCCCCAGGCACCGAGCAGCCCGCGGCCGCCGCAGCCCTCGCCTCTCCGGCCAGTAGCGCCAGCCCGGCCCCGGCCCCGGCCCCGGCCCTCTACCGGTACCGGGTCCGCCCCGGAGCTGCTCCGGGCAGGGCCCGCGAGGGGATACAGAGAAGCGGTGCCGCCCGCCGTCGGCAGCCATTTCCGCCCGCCCTCTCCCTCCACCTTCTCCCCCTAACGCCGACCTCCCCGCCGCGGCGGGCAGCAGCTGCGGGCGGGCGGGCAGGCCGCGGCCGGGACGCCTCAGGAGCTGCCCCCGCCTCCCGCCCTCCGCCCTGCCGGGCCCGGGCGGGTTGCGCAGCCCGACCCGCCCCTTCGAGCGGAAACCGTCGACCCTTCGACGCCGCCGGAGCTGGCGGCTACTGGGCTGAGTCCCCTCCGCCCCGGGCTGCAACTCCCTGCAACCGCACCACGCAACACTTATTTACATCTTTCAAAGTAGGGGCATGTCATCTAATCCTCTTTAATTAAAAATGATAGATTAGCATCCCGTGAGCAGCCAAAGGGCCGGCTACTGTGTTGATTTCTGCCCCTGCCAGCCTCCCTCTGTGTAATGCAAAAAAGTGTTGGGCTGGCAAAGTCTGTCCCAATTTTTACATTGAAAAAAATAAACCAAAATGCCAGTATTCCTCATGCTACTTTTAGGTTCTGCATGACTTGGTACAGCTCCTGTGTCTCCAAACGTGTTTGGTTTTCTCCATGGGGGAAACGTAAGATATTGGACTGCTCGTGACATGCAGTGAAAGGGCTCTGCGGGGTGACTGAGGTAGAGACTACAGACAAGAAAAACTCTTGCAGAATTTCGTGAGGCATTTTCCATGTTAGGGCAAGATTTGTCTCAAGGTGCAGGCAGCTGTTTGGATGTATAATGAAAGTAGAAAGGAAAACATGGCTCCAAATTTCCTGTTGCTTTTTCTGTTCACAAGTCTGTAAAGTGTTTTGTTAATCACAGGGTAGGGTTGCTATATAAAATGGGTAAGGTAGCTTGTGTGCCTAGGACCTGAAAGAATGAAAGAGAATTCTAGTAGCAATGAGGCTAGAGAGGCTTTGTTTATAACTAAGGCTATACTTTGATGCTTTTTGTTTTAGTTTTCAGAAAATACTGGAACTTTGTATACAGATATCTGCCTGAGATGGTTTAAACTTGAGTGTTGGCTAACATTTTAAGTTTTGCAGGATATAGCCTAGTCAGAGCATATGTAGCTAACAGCAGGTTAGTTACATTGTTTACTCAGGTAGCTGGGAAATGTGTGTAAGTGTGCCTGCAAACTAGCAATCCAGGCTAGAATGGTTCCATTCCGTTCTGTTTGACCTTCTTTGTTTTTCAGGTTTTAGAACACAATAATAATTAGGTTTTATTTACATTAAATTTAGTTTATGAGTAGTAGAAATAGGGAATTGTCTACACAGTTTTATAATTGTTTTTTACAATTGTTTTTCTTCTAACAGTCAAGTCCCAAAGTTCATGCAAGTAGGGCAGCTTGAGAGTTGCTATTTCAGTCAGAGTTCAGACTGCAAGAAAGTTTTAAGTGTTATTATATTATTATTACCCATCTTAATTTATATTGAAAAATTATTTTAAAGTAGATATAACACCTGATTGATTATTGTTGTAGGCTTTTCTTCCCAACCAGATTTAAAGATAGGCATAACCCAATTTGGCCATGCACAGAAATTATGTTTGTATAAGGAATAATTCCCACTAAATCCCTTTGATTGGTCTACTAAATGGACTTTTACTTTTTAATTGGATTTTTGCTTTTTAGAAAAGGAAACACACTGTAATTGAAATAAGGGTATGAATACCTTGTGCAAGAAAAAAAATAGATTGGAGGTTCTTGTTTTATAACTGTTGTTCTTTTTGGCTGTTGAGTCATTGTTTAACTTTGAACTATTGTTTAGTACCTGTATCTCAATTAGACAATCTGTAAACTATACATCATTTTTTTTTTTTACCTCAGAGAGATATTTAAAGGTTATTAATAGAAATATTTCACTTCCTAGCTTAAAATGCTAGAGATTCTGATATCTTTTAAAATTCTACTCATTCATTATGACATTCTTAAGAACAAAGAAAAAAAGTATAGGGAGGAACAGTAGATAAGTTATAGTATATGGTAAATGTAAAATCATAACACATTGTAAATGAATGCAATTTCCTAACAGTTTGTGAGACTTCACCCCAAAATGTACCACTGCAAGTGAAATCTTCAGAATTACCAGATGTTTAATTCTCCATTATAAAAAAATATCACACAAATATCTCTTTTGATTGTTCCATATTAGCTGGTGAAACTGGCTTGGAGATAGACTCTTCTGAAGATTGGCAACATGAAAGAGATGGATTAGCAGTTTTAAGCTAAACAATATGCTTTGACTCCAGGGTGTCTGATCTTCTTGCTACAAATAAGTTTTGAAAAAATCTTTTGATTATTCCCCATTACATCAAATACATTTTTTGTATTATTCTCTCACTGCAAAAAAAAAAAAAATCCTTTGATTTAGTCTGTATAAAGTTTTTGGATTTCTTCTTTCTGTAATGGTACATCTACTTAACAGTCTCAAGGAACCATAGAACAATTAATGTTGGAAGGGAACATTAGACGATATCTAGTTACACCCCCTGCTCAAAGGAGGTCCAAGTCAATGAGGTTCATCAGAAACTTCAGTTCAAAGGTATTTTTCACATTACAATAATTCAAACATAATTTCATAATTTCATTACATAATTTCAAACTGAGTACTGAAGTTATATTCAGTTCAATATGCCCACAAATTAAGCAGGTTATTTTTAGAGAAGCCCATTACCTTCATACCATAGAGACAGCAACAGATTATAAGACTATACTGTAATAAAAGCATCTCACAGTAGAAAGTCATGAATCAAGAAACCCTAAACTGCTGAAACCCTAAACATTATTTCATCCTTCAATAATGGGGATGAGAAAGACAGCTGTATGCAATTTGTGTAATTTCCCTTTAAAGTTGCAGTGTGCACAATTAAAACTGTTAGCAAAGGAAATCTAGGGCAACACTATTGCCAGAAGACACTAGTCCACACTGATATTTGACAGGAATAATGCATGCAGTAATACTGATTAATCTATAATTCAAGAGCTAACAACCATTCCTCTCAAACCAGATTCAGAGGATGTTTAAGTGACAAAGTACTAGTATCTTTTTTCTCAGCTTCAACAGATTAAGCCTGTTTGAGAAAATTCAGAAGTAATGTGTGTGAATGAGAAGTGAGGCTAGGCTCTTAAATACAGATTGCCAGAGTCATACTTTTTTTATAGATACCTGTAGTTCCTTGTGGTTTTCAAGTGCAAATCACCTCCTTGTTGATTTTTTTCTTTGACTCTATTCTGTATAAAGGCCAGCTGGGATACCTGAGGGAAGAAAAGCTAATCTGGAGCAAATAGACTTATGGGTTTTAGCTATACCAAAGGTTTCAGTATCACCACCAAAGAGGGACTGTGTAAGAAGTACAAAAATGTTATCTTATACAGAGGAAAAACAGTGAGGTTTGGAACATATAGATTAAATATTCCAACTGGCAAAGATAAATGCATGAAACCACAATTTGGGTGATATAAATTATAACAGAAATACAGGCTGTCTTGAATTCATTATACAAGACAAACAAAGGAAGTGCTCAGAGTCAAGGGTACCCTAAGCAGAAACATCAAAAAAGCCACTTCACTTCAAATAAAAGTTATTACTCAGCTGTCTCCCAAAAAAGATTACTTCACTGCTCTAAAGACATTTAGAAATAATTTTGTGATTAGTTCTTTAGTTTCATAGGAGATTGTTAAATGGATATTTACTGCATCAAGATGGTAGAGTCCTGTGCTAAGTAATGAAGGTTTTGTGAATGTCTTTGGAAATCAGCTGAGATGGGAAGAGGAGGTTGAGAGGATGATGGTGAATTTTTTCTTAGAAAAGGGCAGTGAAGAGCCTAGATAGCAGAATAAGCCGTTTAAAGAAACTGTTGACTGCCAGGGCCCCGATAAGAATGCCTTTCTGCTATAGAACAAGCTCTGAGATATATTAAAGGGCCAGAGTAACAAAGATTAATTACTGTTTCTCAGGTTTTCCATGTGTAATGAAGAGTGAATATATTCTAATTTTGCTTCCAGCAGTATTTATCTCATTGTCTTTAAATTAAAATCTAAATTAGTTAAATGCAACATACATGTAGAGGTGCTATTTCCATGGATGCTTCCGTATCAACTTTTCCCTGCACGTTTCCTGACGCGCTGAGTAGTGTGGAGCCCTCCTCCATGTGTACAACTGAATGTATTTTGTTCCACTATACCCAGTTTGCAGGCATTTTGGTAGAGTTTGGGTTAGTTTTTTTTGCAGTCATTTGATGTTCAGAATCTCTTGGCAATTCTTTTAACTGATGCATTCAGTCTCCCTTTTGTGTTTCAGGTTAAAGCTTGACACCAAAGTACGTAACCAGGTTTTTTTTGCTTTTGCAAAAAAGCATGTCATTCACAACCTGTTGGGAACCATCGAATAATGAGTTAAACATAACCTGAAGGTTCAAGGTCAATTCATCTATCAGATATATTTCAGGCAAAACAGGAGAATTTAATTTTCCTCAGTTTCCTGTTAGCATTTAAATGTAGACAGTTGGTTTCTGAAATCCAGCTGTTTTCAAATGCATTAACTTAATTTTGATTGTTCTGAGTCTGTGAGTATTATTAATAATTTCAGTAAGAGGTGTTCAGCTTGCATTTAGCAGCAGAGAGTAGTTACTGTTTCCTCGGTGTATGACAGGATTCTCAGGAGATGCTCAGCCACGGCCGGGTCCCGGCCGGAGGCGCGGACCCCGTACCCAGCGTTAGTCCCAAGTGATCAGGCTTCGATGCGCCCTGGCTGCACTTGACCCCACATTCCCCGCACTAAAGAACTCTGTCGTTATTTCGTAGCTTCTCCCTTCGCGTGGAGGCCGAAACAGGTGGCCGGTGCTCGCTCCCCCGCTCCTGCCGTGCCTCGGCCTCGTTACCGACGGTGACGGATGGGACCTCTGCTGAATCGCTGGTTTGCTATCTCGTGTGACAGGTGACGGCGGCCGGCACATGGCCGGCTCCCCTCGCTCTGCCCGGCCGGGGTCTCCCCAGGCGAGCCTGGGGCGAGGAACAGCGCGGCTGCCGGCGGCGGCCCCGTGAGGGGAGGAGGAGGCAGGCCCGGCGGCGGGAAGGGGCCGAGCCCGGGGGAAGGGCGGGGCGGACCAGCCTCGGCCCCTTCTCTCCCGCCCGCGCGGCGATTGGCCGGCTCGGCCCCGGAAGGCGAAGCTGCCGCTTCCGGAGGGGCCGCCATCTTGTTAGCAGTTGGCGGAGGCAGCGCCCGGCCCGGTAGCCCGCGTTCCGGTGTGCTGCGCTGCGCTGTGGCGCGGCCGCCCGCCCGCCCCGCAGCCCCGCTCCGCGCCCTCAGCCGCCATGGCCAACAACAGCCCCGCCGTCGGCGCCGGGAACTGCCAGGGGCAGCAGGCGGCCCAGCACCAGCCCGGTGCCGGCCCCCCGGCCCAGCAGCAGCTGCAGAGCGGGGCCCCCAAGCCGGCGGCCTCCGGCAAGCAGGGCAACGTGCTGCCGCTCTGGGGCAACGAGAAGACCATGAACCTCAACCCCATGATCCTCACCAACATCCTCTCGTCGCCCTACTTCAAGGTGCAGCTCTACGAGCTCAAGACTTACCACGAAGTGGTGGACGAGATCTACTTCAAGGTGAGCCGGCGGGCCGCGCCCTGGGCGCCGCGGGCTCCGCGGGGCTGGGCCGGCCCACGTCCCGGGCGAGCCTCCCGCTGCTGGGCGGAAGGCTCTGGCTGCGGTCTGTGGGTTCCCTCTCTCGCCTTCCCGCTCCTTTGCGGGAAGGGATGGGAACAAATCTTTCATTGCTTAATCGGGGGAACCCCAGGTGCCGGCTTCTCTCTCTTACAAAAGAGGCGTGCTTCGCGTCGGATTTGGAATTACGGAGTTGTAAGTTTTGAAGTGGGCGGCGTGAGCCAGGGCAGTGAGGAGGAAATGGCCGTCTAAGGCCTGCGCTCTCGGTCGGACAGAGTGGGGAGGGGGCCCGGTCTGCATGCTGCTGTTAGAGACGAGCACTGCCCGCAGCCTAGGAGTTACCGACATGCTGTGTAATTTCGCAGAAGGGATGCTGGTGAATGCAGGTGGTTTCAACAGGAGTTTGCACGTGGTCTTCTTCCTCAGTTAGAGGCTAGGATCGCTCTCTTTCACACTCAATCAAAAACTAGTTAATGTTAGTGCTTCTCTGGGCGATAGGTAGGATGTGCCGGGGAGATAATTGTCTCGGTGCATCCATATCTCAGTTCTTGTTTTGTTAGCAGGATTGAATCAGTTTTGCAGCGAGGCTTCCATCAAGTCAGTCTCCCAGGTAGAGGTATGCATAATTAATGCTCATCAACACAGCCACATTCTTTGTTCTGATAATGAGCACAACACTTATCTAATTCAGGCTGCAGACTTCAGTTAGCTATACTTGGCTGGTTATTGAGATATTCTTTAAAGCTGGATTGATTCTACTATGTAATGCTACTGTGTCAGCTAATAGGTTAAAACATACTTTGAAATTAAAAAAAAAAGTAGCCTTTTTCTCTCGTTTAGCCAGGACAAGTTAATTTACTTAGGGGACTATAATTGTGGGAAAACTCCACAGAAGTGTTTTGAGATGTTTGGCATTGTTTGCACTTATGAAGACAGTGCACTGTGTTTCATTTTAACGACAGCACTTCTCTGCTTGTGCTCTGTCATTTGGAGCAGACTACTTAATTCTCCTAATACAATAACATATATTGTAGACAAAGCTTGTCTTCAGTTAATTTAGCACGTGCTGCATGTGAGATAGAAATAATTCTGACTATCAAAATGGAAAGCAGCAAAGTTTATTTTTGCAAGTTATGAGCTGAAGAATTTATAGAAAAACATATTTTTAGAGAAGTTGAGAGCTTACTGTATTTTACAGGGACCCTTTCAGATGTAGTAAAAATTATTTGATGTGATTTGTTTTCTTAGTATTGGTAGACGTCAGTTGCAGTAAGTGAAACAATTTGTTTGCTCCTCTCAGTGTTTCATTCCATAAGTGGTTTAATCTTAAATTGGGGAAGAGTTTTGGCATACCATTAAATTTTTATTAATCCAATGTAATTAAAGTTTGTTTATTGAACTTGACAGTTATTCTGGCTTTAAAACTGCATGCTAAATAAAGAGAAAGCTCAGCCTCTGACTTACTCATAAGTAATAGATGTGAGGGAGAAGATAACCTGATGGTTAAGGTACTTCATTGATATACAGGAGATTTGATTTCTGTTCATGTTTTAAGATTCGTGAAAAACATTAAACAGTAGATGGCTTTTTTTTTTTTGAGGGCAATATCCACCATAGCAGGTGTATTTTTGAATGTATTTTATTTTGTTTTGGAACTGAAGTAAGTAGCTTGTTTAGAAAAGTTAAGAATGCTGGGTGCTGGATTCTCTGAAAAGATGATCTTAAGTCACATATGCAGCTAGTGGTAGGGACCATCTTTGAAGATACAGATTCTGTCTACGTTTTAAAATTAATTAACTTGTAGTTCTGGTCTCCTGTTTTCACTTCTGTATCTGCAAAGTGAGTGACTTACTCTTTATCTCTGATCTTTGTACCACATGTATGACCAAGTTCATTTAATGTGTATGTTTTCAGCAAGTTAACCATATGCAGCAGTCTTTGCAGGATCAAAACTTTAAATATTCTTTTTTGAAATTAGTATTGTTTTCAGGCCTGTGGGTTTTTTGATATCTGTCAAAACCAGCATGTTTACATGGATTGTTGGCAGTAAACTTAACTGTAATTAACAAAATTGAAGGCTACCATTGCGATAGCATCATATTTGATCCTTTGACTAAAAAAATACTTTTCATTTCCTGTGAGAGGCAAAACTGTAAATAATCAGAAGGATGTGCAGTATTATTTACGTAGTATTTGTGAACTTCTCATATGATGCTAATAATACAGGAAGTCATAGTGGATTTTGAATTCTATGGTATTGGCATCTTATCTTTCCTATTTGGATAAGATAGCAAGTGTAAAAAAGAAACAACACAGTTCAGTATCTTCAGCCGTTAGTATAGCTTTTAATTTCACGTGACTGTGCACGTAATTAGTTTTGTTTCATGTATTGTTAAAGAATGTACTGTAGTTCACAAACCAAAAGCTTGGCCATGAACTCTTATCTCCCATCTAGTGTAACAGCATTGTATCTTTTTTGTCTTTTTTTTTTTTTACTTATTTTTGTCAGTTGATGTGTTTAGGAAATATACTTCTTTGTTTGAGCCAGGTGTTACTTCTCCAAATTTCACAATTTTAAATGTAGCTTATGCAGTTTTATAATGCTTAACTTCTTTGTGGCTCTTATTATCAAGTGTAAGGAATGGTGTTGGTTAATTATGTTTGTGCACTCGTCTCTAAATTCATCTCAGAAGATTTGAATTAGGCAAGTTTTACTCGTACATAATAACCATTTTGTCTGAGAACATCACTGCAGTCTACAGGAAAAAATACTGGTGTTTTAGACCAAAACACAACACTTCGTAGACATCTTTATTTTGTCTCAATTGTAGGTGATACTCAAAAGAAAGATCTGACTGAACTCACTGCATAAATGAGATTTATGAATATGAGAGTAGATTTTTAGTTCTGTAGCTCTTGTCAGCAGGTGTCACTAAACTTGTTAAGAGACAGTTTAAATTAAGGTAATTGTTTAGTCACCATGGAAAATAGTAATGATGGGGTTTAGTCATAAAGTATTTGAAAGTACATGGAGTATAGAATAAGCATGGGTGCTTGCTTTGGTGTTTTGCTTTCTGGATTGAGTTAACTTCATGATTTTGGCTATAATTTCTTAATGGGATAAGTACAAAAGCCAAATGCTTTCCCTTAATGACACAGCAGACTTGATCTTGATTTTTGGTAGAAGACAAGCTACTTAAGATTGATTTAGGATATTCATTGTTTAACTTAGGTTTCTATAGGCATCTAAGCATTATGGAGGTTATAATTGTTATTTGCTTGCTTTCTTCCCACCCCTCTCCATCCTTTCAGGTTACACATGTTGAACCATGGGAAAAAGGGAGCAGAAAAACAGCAGGCCAGACAGGGATGTGTGGAGGGGTAAGTAGAAGTACGTGCTGCCTTAAATTTTTTGGTCTGGTAAATAAATTTCCCAAGCATAGCTAAAACTTAGTTGTATGTTGCCACAGTCCCTAGATAAAAAAGCATTTATTACAAGGAGTTGATACATTCCCCTTACTTCTAGAGCTGTGAGTGCAAGTAGTGTTACTTTTTCCACATAGCTCTGCAGATGTAGATTTTTATCCTGTGTTAATTCTTACATTCTTTTGTAGATTTAGGATAATGTCTTTGTGACTTGCTGTGTGGTCGCCTAACTTTTTTTTTTCTTCTGAAAGGTGCGTGGTGTTGGAACTGGAGGAATTGTGTCTACTGCCTTTTGTCTGCTCTACAAATTATTTACACTGAAACTCACTCGTAAGCAAGTGATGGGCCTTATAACTCACACAGACTCTCCATATATTAGGGCTCTTGGATTTATGTATATTAGGTAAGTATCAATATAGTCAACTAATGACTAATTTAGTATACAGAAAGCTGTATTAAAATGTTATATTCTTTTTGTACTTAAAGGTACACACAACCACCTACAGATCTATGGGACTGGTTTGAATCCTTTCTTGATGATGAAGAGGTATGTCGGCGAGGGTAATAATTTGTTTTCTTTCGTTTCTTTTCATGTTACTACTTCAGGCTTAAACGTTGTTTGATAAGATTTTCTGTAGTTTGAATGTTGCAATGTTATGTTCTTGTAATTTCATTAATTAGTGCAGGAAGCAGGTCTGAGCTGGGACCTGGGTCATTTTTCTTAAATTTCACAGAACTTTCTATTCATTAGGACGTTACTGTGTCAGCTATTATAAAGCCATGTGAAACTGGTTTATTATCTCAGAATGCAGATAGCAGGCTGTGTGAGTGCAGCATCTGTGTGGTTTTCAGAAAAAAAGTATTTTTAAGCAAAGTATAGTAAGTCCTGAAAATGTGATTTTTATATTTTGCATTTATTGCTGGGACAGGGGGAGTTGCTGCCCACGTGGAAGAGTGAGAAGTACAGAGTAGAAACCAACATTCACCTTGAAAAAAATATTACCAAAAATGTATGTGGTTATTAATCATGTCCTGGAATAACTAAACCCAGGATTTCTTCAATGGAGAAACAAACTGTAATTACTGCATAAGGTGGCATTGTTTCTAGTAACCTTAATGTCTTTGCTAATGGGGCAAAGGAAGAAACATGGGTTGCTCACTGATGAAGTTCAGTAAAGAGGCTGCATTATTATGCAGTCAGATAGGAGAATCCCAAGTAGAAGCTGATGGGTGAGGTTTCTTGGTCTATGAAGTTGAATATACAGTCTGCTACATACTGTTGCAATTTGTATTTATTGAGCAGGTTTTAAACTACATCCTAGATTTAAGAATGGAACAGGAAGGATCACTTGTCCTCTTCAGTGTGACAGTAGGCACCTACTTCAAGAAATTTCAAATGTTGTAGTTGCAAATGATGTCCAAATATCTGTATTAAAAATAGTCTGAATTATACCTGTATCTGTCTGCAATGCAGTGTATTTATTTTAAACAGCTTCTTTCATGCAAAGTATCAAAAACACTGTGCAAAGGAAACAGCTGTTACTTCAGGTAAACCTGTGTTATTGTATGTTTATAACAAAAATCAAAATTAATTTAAATCTTGATTGCATTGCTGTGATATCCTCATTCTCCCCCAGGTGGTGCTAGTTAATATGAATTCTTCTCTGCAATGTTGCATTGTAACTTGTGGAGGATTGGGGTGGCTTCATTTTCAGGGTCCCACAAACAACTTGATTCCCAGGACAATAAAGTGATCACCAGTGCAATTCATTGTGCAGGTCTTAACTGGTTCATTATTCAAAGCACCTTTTTTAGTTGAATACATTTCAGTTCTTGCAGATATTTGTTATCAGCTTATATTTGTTTATTGTCATTTAAAATCTCCCAGTATATTTTTGGAATTAGTGTTTCTTTCCCAGCTGCTTTCAGTAGCTTTGTGTTGTGTAGGAACAAGTGCTTGGGGCTGTTTGTCTTAAGTTTCTTACCAGACCTGGTCAAGCTTAATAGGATGAAGCAAACTCATATATATGGAAATATTTAAACCTACAGGATTTTTTTTTTTTCCTCCAGTTCTTAAATATGTGGAAGCAGTTCATCTTTTGTCATGCTGCTGTGAAAAACTTCTCAGGCTACAGAGTTACTTTTCAAAATGCTTCTTATGTTTATTTTGTTTAACTGTACGTGCTCTCCAGGTGCTACGTTTAACTCCTTTTTTTCTTCTTTAGATCTCTGCAGCGATTATATTTGGAAAAACTGTATATCTGAACACTTAAATGTGTGTGAGTGCAAGCAGTTTTACATTTAGATTTTCTCTTCCTGTTTAGATAACAAATCTCACTTTCCTTGTGTGCTTGCACTATAGGTTTGGGACTGACAATAGCTGACTAACATGTCCTGAGCTGTGAGAGGGCATAGCAAGAAGGCCTTCATGCGGTAATGACCCTTTTCAGAGACAATGGTCATCATGGATTATGCGTTTCCAATTATTTGTTCATTTATTTATTTTTTTACATATTTCTAAATTAGAAACCTCACTGCTTCATGGCAGTTGGTTTGCTATTGCTTCCAATTCTGTTAGGATGCCATTTTGTACTAGAGGTTTTTCTGTGATCATTTTTAGATAGGCAATGATGTAGTTCTTAAATGATTTAGGCCACAGGGTTGGGTATGATGATACGCAGTTGTACATCCACAAAATGGAGTGTTAAATGTAGTTTGAGAGGACTTTTGAACTTTGTGGCATTTAAATAAAATACAAGATCATACCATATAACCAGACTGTGTAAGGGGATTTTGCGTTAATCTCTTCATCGACAGTCCCTTACCATCCAGATGGCTGCAGGATTAGTATGTGCCTGCATGCATATATGTTAAGTCCCATTCCCTATCTGTAACATACTGCCAGATCTGAAGGGTGCAGAGTTTGACTTTTTTTAAGGAAATGTATTAGAATGAGATAAGTAAACTTTCATAATCATGAGACTTCAAGAGGGCAGTAATGTAGCAGCATTTTTTTTTTTTTAATCACTAAAGAATCTCTTTGACCATCAGGATATTTTTTTGCTTGTATTTTGTAGGACCTGGATGTGAAGGCAGGTGGGGGTTGTGTTATGACCATCGGGGAGATGCTTCGTTCCTTCCTCACTAAGCTTGAATGGTTTTCCACGTTGTTTCCAAGAATTCCTGTGCCAGTCCAGAAAACCATTGACCAGCAAATTAAAAGCAGACCTAGAAAAATCAAGAAAGATGGCAAGGAGGGAATGGAAGAAATAGAGCGACATGCAGAACGTAGACGTTCAAGGTCATATACATATTATTTTGAAAATCAATGTTAAAAGTTCGATATTGACCTACTCGTTACCAGAAGCATGTCGCCTTTTGACTGAGGCAGGTTCTAAGGCAACAGACAAAACAGTTCATGGATGCTAATGGACTGAAATCATCAGATGATATTTGGTATTTAAGATTAAGTACAGACTGTGTATGTAAAGTATAAATCGGAAAGTAAATTTTAAAAGGTGGTGTTTCATACTGAATCTCTTTTATTTTAAAAGGTCTCCAAGACGATCCATCAGTCCCAGGAGGTCTCCCAGAAGATCCAGAAGCAGAAGTCATCATCGGGAGGGCCATGGATCATCTAGTTTTGATAGAGAACTAGAAAGAGAAAGAGAACGTCAGAGATTAGAACGTGAAGCTAAGGAGAGAGAAAAAGAAAGGCGGAGATCTCGAAGTACTGATCGCGCACTGGAACGGAGGCGAAGCAGAAGCAGGGACAGATACAGAAGCCGTAGTCGAAGTCGTGACAGGAAGGGAGATAGAAGAGACAGGGATAGGGAACGAGAGAAAGAAAACGAACGGAGCCGGAAAAAAGAGAGAGATTATGATAAGGAAAGAGGTAGTGAAAGGGAAAAAGATCGATCTAGAGAAAGATCAAAAGAAAGGAAAAGTAAGGGTGATCCAGAAGAGAGAAGACACAAGGATGACAAGGATGACAAGAAACACCGGGATGACAAGAGGGATTTCAAAAAAGAGAGAAAACATAGTAGAAGTCGAAGCCGGGAGAGAAAGCATAGGAGTAGGAGCCGAAGTAAGAACACAGGTAAGCGCAGCAGGAGCAGGAGCAAAGAGAAATCAAGTAAACACAAAAATGAAAGTAAAGAGAAATCAAATAAACGAAGTAGAAGCAGAAGCAGAGGAAGAACAGATAGTGTTGAGAAGTCCAGAAAGCGAGACCGGAGTCCCAGCAAAGAAAAACCTAGAAAGCGTAGCAGAAGCAAAGAACGTTCCCACAAACACGATGCCAGTGATAGCAAGGACCATTCGGACAAACATGATCGTCGGAGGAGCCAAAGTACAGAACAAGAGAGCCAAGAAAAGCAACATAAAAACAAAGATGAGACTGTGTGAACTCTTTCAGAAGTGGATCACATTGAATCCTATAAATGTTTGATTAAATCCTGCTTATTTTTTCTTAAAGTTGAGATTGTGCAGTAGTTGATGAGCACTCTTCTCCAACCTCCCTCTAGGCTGCAGATTGTCATTTCCTATTTTGGGTAGGGAAGTGCCTTTGTAAACCCATTCAATGCATTGACGGTTTCAAACCATTTGTTTAGTTTAATTCGTAATGCAGAGATTGTTTTTGCATTTTTATTGTTCAGAAGTTTCTGAAATGTACAGTCTGTACATACGTCCTGAAAATGTTTTAATTCCTTTGGCATGGTTGCCATGTTGGTTAAATTTGTATGAGGCAATAAACTGCCACTAATTCTACTTTCATTTTGTAGACGTGGAATTATGGTTTGTATCCTGAAGTTAGCATGGCTGTGCTTTACAGAATAGTATGGTTTTTAGGGATGGATCTTGAATGTGTATTATAGCCGAGATATTTATGTGCATACAGTGTACATTGAGGGCTGCAGATTTAGAACTAACGTTTATGTCCACTGTACCTACTGTTTTTTCAGAAGCTTTTAAAATGTATTATGTTGTTGATCACCACTGGTGTTAAATTGAGAGTAGACTTTCAAGGAGATAGTGGATTTGATGCAAAGATTTAGATGATGTTGGGCCTTGTTTAGTAATTCTTCAGGAAGGCTACCTCAAGTGGGCACTGCAAAGGTTGACGGATAAGTACTATAGCCATCTATGCATTCTATTTGTTCAAAGAAAAACCCATATAAGCTTAATTTTTTTTTTTAAACACAATTTATCCATTTGTGGTCCTCTAGTGTTTTTAATCAGCAGCTGCACTCTGTCATTTACGATAATCCTGGGCTAATAAAGGCATTTAAGATGGAAAGAGGGAGGTAGGAAGAAGAAAAATATTACAAAGGATTTCAGTTTCAAGCTTCCAAAGCATTTTTATAAGTGTAAACATTTAAAATAAGAATTACCTGATAGTGTCCTTTTTTAAGTCATATTTTCTACAAATAGTAAGGATTGCAGTTTGTGCTGAACATCTCGTGGCAGATTTTTTTTTAAACAGGTTGTTAGAAGCAAAAACCAAAATGCATTATAGAAAAAAATCATATCATTAAAGTCCAAGTCTATTTGATAGATGATTCTGATGACTTGTATACTAAGTGAGGAGAACCATCTGGAATAAACTCTCAATTAATTCCTTTGTATTGGGTGTCACCGTTTCCCTGCATGTTCATTGCCAGTTGAAGAATGTTTGGGTTCCTTCATGTTTCATTTTCAGACCAAGTGACACTTGGTGTGAATAAGGCTTTTATGTAATAAGTACCTCATAAGGATGAGGCAGCTAACAAAGAAATGCAGCAGCCCAAAAGTAGGAAGAACATTAAGTGTGACTCACTCGTCGTCATGAAGTGCCCTGAAGGTAGAAATAAATTCATATTTGTGCCTTTTTTTGCTTCTGTGTGATGCAGGTTATCTAGGCATGATACTTAAAAATTAGGATTTTTTTTAAACCTCTGGGAGAAAACAAACAGTGCTTGAATTTCTAACAACACACTTCAATCCATAGCTCTCAATAAAGCAGAAATGACAAACTCAATTTTTTTTCTTCCCCCCTGCTCTTACTGTTTTCTGAATTGTTAGTCTTTCCTTTGTCACTGTGATCCTTAGTATTTGAAATATTTCAATACTGAGGTTTTTCAGGTATTGTCTGCTTATATTTGTTACCTGATTTTAAATCTGAGCTTGAAACAAGATTAAGCTTCAGCAAGTTTATTCCATTGCAGTGTACAACTAAAATACTGAGTTGTCATTTAATATGGGAGGAAAGAAAGTTTTGGCTGTTTAAGAAATGCCCTGGCTAGTAGATTGTTAGAACTGTCTTTGCAGTCTATCAGGGGATTGCATGGATCCTGTCTAAACAATGAGGACAACTGTAATTTACCTTATTTGCCACTAGAAAGCATCTTATGGCCTCATTAGTTTTTAACCTTCAGCCTATGAGTTTCTGAAATGAGTATGTTCTTGGGCAGAAAGGCTGCAAGGCCAGTTTTGTCAGGGAAAATGGATTACTGATTTCTACTTGTTCTGTCAGGGCTCTTCCTTTGCTGTTGGGAAATAGGGTGAAAGAATGGTTTATTTGCAGGCAAAATTATGATATTTGAGAAACAGTCTTTGACCTGAAATTGGGAACAACGCTCTTACAGTGATAATGAACATTTTGATACAGCTTGTGCAAAGACTAGCTCATGCCAGTAGTTCTTACAAGTGTAGTAATTTGAGGACTTCACTTTTATTTATCAGTAGCCCTTTCTGACTTTTGGTTTTAATTTGATCCATATTATGTACTCGAGCTAGCAGTATAATGGATAGCACAATATCCATGACTTACCAAGAGCTATGAAAATTATTTAAACCAAGATACCCATCTTAAGTTACCATTGGGATTTAGTATCTTGTAGCTCTTGAGCTTGAATGCAGGGTCTCTAATTCCTGATGCCATTTTATTTCATGTGAGCTTTCTTAAAGGAGCAGATCTACGGAACTTCTACAAAGCACCTCTGATGAGAAGTGGTAAGATCAGCAGAACTTCCCATGCTCACTGGTCTGATGGGTCGCTAGCAGGGCAGTGGCAGTTGGCATTTGGCTCGGGATCATTAGAAGACAGTTCCTGCCACTTGTAATTGGAGGTATTGTGCGGGTTTGCCAAGGAGATGTGGTTGCAGAGCTTCTGTCAGACAGGCTGTGCAGTGACCCTTCATTTCTCAGGGGTAAAGGCACAGCGAACCAAGCACTATGAACCAGAAGTTTCTGCAGGATGCCATGTGGCCCTAGTTACCCAGCTGGGATAGTCATTCCTCTCAGAAAGCCTCATCTGTCTTTGAAATTTCCTGTGGTTCCAACAATACTTACTTATCTGGACTAATACAACTAATTTGAGAAATACACCTCTACTTTTGAAGATGCTGCTTGATCAGTTGAACAACATTTCAGAAGTCACAAACTGTTGTTCTTTTGTTTTAAGGCAGGGATTTGGCCCCAGAGACTCACATCTACTTACTGCCACATAATTACGCAGGTCATTAGTGTCAGTACAGACAGGCTTTCATGTGTCTGACTTGTAAACGTAATAGAAGTGGTATTTTGACTGTCTGTATTGAAAAAGGTAACTTGAATGGCAGGGCAATTTATCTGATCATGTTGGGGGGGGAGGGGGATACTTACTACACCATGCATACCCTTTTTTTTTTATCTACTTTTTATGTTGAAGAAACATGAATGAGCTCACACCTTCAGTATTTAGAGCTGACTATTACTGTACTGACAAAAACAGTATACAAATAGCCAGGATCTCTTAAGGGGAACCTGAAAGGATTAGATGACTTCTGCTGGCTTTGGTAGATGGTTGAGCACTTTCTGCACTGCTATGAAGTGCACATAACTACATACAGGAGATGTCTGCCAGCTAGTAAGCAGGGTAAAACAGAATTTAAATGCCACTCTTGAGGTTTTGCAATTTAGTTGCCTTTTTATTTTTACTCTTCCCCACCAATAGTCAGATGTGGAAGAACACTTATTAAATCTCAACTATTTTGGGTCAAATCTGAAAACAACTGAAGGACAGCTTTTTGCCAGTTTCTTTACTGGACTGAAAACAGCCTACCTAAGTTTTGAGCTGTTAACTTCTGTGTCAAATACAATTATAAATCATTTGTATTTGTAGCAATAAGAACTTTTTTTTTTTTTTGCAGTTGCTCATCTTTGTGTAATTGCAACAAATATATCTTTAAAATTGATTTTTTTATTAAGCATTAATGGAGGCATTTATCACGAAGTAACAGGTGTTTTTAATCACATAATCTGTTAGTGTAAGGGATTTCACAGAAACTGTTCTGAAAGCATTCATTTTACTTAGCATACCATTATGCCACTTACCCCATGGTCTTCAACAGGAATTTTTTTGATTCTCAAGTTTTTAAGTAGTTTGTGGTGTTGGGTTGCTTTTTTGTCTGTCTTGTTGTTATTTTGGCTTTATTTGGGGTTTTTTGATTGCTTGCTATTTTTGCTTCATGAAGACCAGAGCTATACTAGTAAATCTTAGAGAAACTACATCTATGAAAACATTACATTAAATTGTCCCGTCCTATGATGTTAAAAACAAGTCAGTGTGACCCATAAAAACGCATTTGCTTCAATCTGGAGGGAACCTGAAACTGATCCTGACTAAAGGTTTTTAATCTTGTCAGTAAGTGCCAGTGATGTTTCACATACCAGCAGTGTTAATTATTATTAGACAACATTAATGCCCAAGTAACAAGGCCTGCAACATACAGCCACAGTAGGAGGTGTGGATCTGTCCCTAGTTGTGCTGCTTTTCTTCCCTGTTATGGTAAATTGTCTACATCTTCTAACTACTTTTTTTTAGCTGAATCAATGTGTTTTGGAATCCTTGTAGCTTTTTGCCTTTTTTTAAACAGACATGAAAATAATTCTATTACAATTACACTTATTCATTCATGAAAATGTGAAGAGCTGATGAAAATAGTACTATGTCAAGGCAGTAGTGTGTAGTTTTGAGATGTCAATGTCTGTGTGCCAGGAAGAAGTGAGAAAAAATACACAAACAGTTTATAATTGCTTAAAGGACAATAGTTACTGTTAGGACATGGAAATATTAGAATTGTTTATATGAAAAGAAGAAAGCTGTGGCTTGAATTTGAATCCAAAAGAAACTGATTGCTTTAAGCATCTGAAAATCCAGTTAATAGCCACCTGGTTAAAACACCTGGGCTTTAGTGACAGTGTTTGACAACTATAACTGCAAACTAAAAAACAAACAAAACACTCGAAAGTTGGGAACAATATTTATTTTTACATAACTAATTTCTTTTTTTTCCAAGTGAGAAATAGAACCAACTTCTATTAAAAAATTCAGGGCACTTTTAAATGATGTTTCCAAAAGAAAGACTTGTTTGACAGTGAATAGATGCAGATCATGTTCTAAGAAGCAACATGTAGTTCTTGAGCCATCTACCGCCAAATTATTGAAGAATGAGATGTGCAAGTGCTCAGAAGCAGTGACTGAGATACCCAGTACAACTGTGTGCTGTGAAGAAAAAAAGCTTTCAGAATGCATGGTGTCTATAAGCTGAAAAAAGTGTTAAAAACCCTGTTGCTGTTGGTAACCTTTATACATAAGCTTCTGAAGCCTGCTTTTGTAAGATACTGAGTAATTGTTTTACTTTTTATGTGTATATAGAACCTTTGAACTTTGCTTTCCATGTTGGCTGAAGAAGTAACCACAGTGAAATAGGAGAAAAGGTTCTGCCTTTTCTGAAAAATTGGAAATTAAAATTTTAGTAATAACTGTTAGTTCTTCATTAGGCACAAAACAAAACAAGTCAGTTTATGTGAAGGAGACATTATGTTTACCCTCAAGTTACCTCTCAAAATTGTAAAGAAACAAACTTTTTTTTGAAATTAAAATTAAATAGTCTTGGAATACTTAAGCTGCAAGTTACTTTTACTTGAGTGCACCTAAACGGTTTTGGGTGTTTGTTTTGTTTTGTTTTTTTTTTGTTTTGTTTAAAGGTGTTAAATTTCACTCTTAAATCTTTATTTCAGACTTTACTATTTCATTGATACATTAGGTCTAGATCACACCTACTGAAGAGCTTTTACAACTGATTCCTTTACAGGGAAAACTACATTTCAAGATTACCGAGATGACGGTTTTCACCTGCATTTTAAAAATTATCTCAGGAGTTGGGGCTCAGATTTGATGTCCTGTATTAGTTCTCAGACATGGCTAACTGTTCAGCTTCCTTCCTTCCTCCCTGTCCTCAAGCAGCTCTGACTGTTGCAGTTAAGCACAGATGTCATCTTTCTAACTTCAGGGAAAGAAAGACTGGGGACAGGGTCAACAACTGCAACATTCAGGACAGCTGTAGGAGAACAGGGGCGAGGAGGAGAGGATGGGCCTGCGGGGCTGGGGGGAAGGCAGCAGTGACTTCATCAGTCCTTTTGAGACAAGGGCAGTAAATAGTCCAGAGCACCAGTACATTTGTTGGAGAATGAGCAACTTTAGCTAGCAAAGAGAGAAAGTAAATGAGCCCTAAAGAGTATCTTGGTCTGTTGAGATTTTGAGGGCTTTGCTGGGCAACTATAGGGTAGTGTTAGAAAAGGCTTCATGAAATGAAAGAGAGTTTTATTCTAAATGGAGGAGAGGACAAATCAGTATCCATAGTAGGAATAGACAGCTTGCATTTTCTGAGGTAAATACAATGGATTTTAACAAACCAGTTATATTTAGTGTATATAGGACCGGTGAAGTTTATCCCTCTCATCCCAAAGATTTAAGCAGAATGAAAAATTTGATTAATATATCCTAATCTAAATTACAACTTTCATAACTTACCTCTTTATCTGAACCAGCATTTTCATCTAGATAAGTTGTTCTGGATTGCTCTTCCCTCTATAAATCACTGTAACAGAAATCAGAAAGAATTTCAGTTATGGAAAAGCAACTGTTTTGAGAAATGTTTTGGCTGCTTTTGGAGTTGTTTCTAGCAGTTCACATAGGCAAATAAAGCACAAGCCTAGCCTGTTGAAACCCCTGAAGAAATAAGGTAGAATAGGTTGAGGTAAGCCATGCTTTTTTTAACTTTTTTTTTTTTTTTTCAGTAAAAATCAGAAGTGTGACCTAGTTTAATTTGTAATGGGATATGGCAGGGCTATAAAAGATAAGGCTATCTTCCATTATGTGCTATCAGATAAACAGTAAATGTGATAATGTAGAATGCATGATGGTATACAGGCCACAATATAGGTAAGGTGGTTTTTAAATTTTAATTATAAATTAAAAGATGAGGGGAGGGGGTGTGAGATAAACCTGCATAACAGTAGCAAAAGCCTTGACTATTAAATTTATATATTATTTGCGTTTCATCTGGAGTTACATTATGCTAAAATGTTTTGCAAACACCATGGATTTGGAATGAGTACTCTGTGCTCTTACCCATTCCAAGAGAGCTTCCAGAACAGGTTACTGAAATGACATGAAAGAGAAGTATAAACGTTAGGTGTCAAGTTGTAAGCCAGAAAACATTAGTAATCTGTAGAATGGAGTCCATGCTATGCAACTGTGCAAACCTATCAGATAGCAGTAGTTTTATAATGGATTAAATTTATGCCCTGGGAAAGGAATCCCAAGGAAATGACTACCCCTTCAAACATTTTTACTTAAAAAATGTGCTTAGGAGTGGTTCACATAAGTTCTGTGTTTGTTTATTCAAAACTAATAATTCTATAAAACAAACGAGAAAGCAAAACAATTAAAAATCCTCATCTATTTGCTTCTGTATTCTAACCACTACTAACCACTCAACTGAACATTAACTTCCCTGTATTCACCAGGTTATGGGTGATCCAGTTATAAGAGGCACCTGTGCAGATGAGTATGCCCAGTCCCAAAATGCTCCTGTGAAGTTTCAGTCACAGATACCGCAAGATAGCACTTGTGAAGTTTACTCTTGAGTCAACACTAGAATAGAAAAGTTCTATTCCATGCCACCTTTACTCACATAAATTCGGATTACATTTTAACCATCTAGCATGCATAGACAAAAGTACATCATTCAAAGAAATGTAAGTTTTACCTGAATATATTTTTTTAGGGCAAAATGTGAACTTCAGCCCCTTATCAGTAACTGGAGATACTACCACTGTGTAGACATCCCCACAGGGTATTTCAGTGATATCACATTGACTTAGACCTGGGCTAGGGGTACAGGTGAAATTGCCTTTCGAGCCATGTAAATCAGTGGTGTAGTTTATCGTTTCATCTGAAGCTCGCCAGTATACCCTGATACTGTTATTGCCGAGTCTATATAGCTTCACCCCAGAAGGGCAGCAAGCACCTGTTAAAATAGGAAACATGAATAAGCAAATTCTGTGAACCCACAATACATTATAAATTCCTACAGTGTTTTTTAAACCAGATGATATGATTACTATCACATTATATACAAGCATTTCAATGAGAAATTGTTATTTCACAGAAAGCCAGAATAATTCTTGAACTGAACTGGGGAAAGAAACATTCCATTGGACTCATATGGAGCTGGAACTCAGACATTGTTTTATACATTGGAATATTCTAGCTCTTTCCTGACTAGGGAAGCACAAGGGCTACCTTAGAGTGTCCAGAATCCTTCTGTGGTCTTGCAAATTTAATTATGCCATAGCATATTTTAATTTTAAAAAGTGTTTCTGAAGCAATGTTATCAAAACTATCTTTGCATGGCCACCTGATGGCCATTATAAGAACAGGGGTTAAATATGTAAAAGTACTCCAAAGTGCATTTATTTAAAAGAGGGAACTGAAAGTGTATTAGCTATGTATTGAATTTCAACTGCACTATTTGTCTGAGAGGAACACCATACAAAGTAAGTTGTATATTGAGTCTTTCTCTTCCCAATTGCATTTACATACTGGAAGAATATCCTTGATACGTGCATCTGGATGTCAAACCCGTTTCACTGATTGCTTTCAGAGAGACTGTATAGTTGGTGCCACATGTGATACATCCCAGGAGACAGTAATTTTGAAGAGTGTGACACTTTGCCTGTCCTTTTGGAGACTCCAATGTTGTTACATATGTCTGTGCACCCATCCCAACAGACCAGCTGATATTTGTTACAGACTGTGTCACTTGAGTTAGTATCAGGTCATTAGGGCAACAAGGAGCTTAAAAAGAACAAAAAATAAAGAAGTCAATTCTGTTTTGTACTTGAAAAATGGAAGGTATTTTTGGGGGTTGCAATTAGAATAGTGTGTGATCAAGAGCAAAGGAATGAAGATGTGCATACTCTTCAGGCAAACATTAGCGTGCTGAAAAATTCTTGATTACTCTGGCAAGCTTCTAATAATATCAATAAAAGATCAATTTGTCTATAACAGTGAGTTATAACCCTGAAATTATTATAAGATGACTGTTCATCAAGATACTAAAAGTTACTAATGCTTATCATCAGAACATCAGCGTGCATCTGTAGTTTAATTAAGCAGAATCCATTTCTACCCCTCAAGTCACGTAGCTCAGTGCAGCTCTGTCTCTATTTCAAGTCTCTTCCTCTACAACATAAAATGACTGTAGCCCAACTGCCTGTTAAAAGTAGATCCTGGTGTACATTAATCTCTGAACTGTGCCGGGGGATTGTCTGCCTAAGTGGTACAGGACAAAACTCTACTAGTAAATTAGTATCAGGAATGGTGGGTACTTCAGTCTGTTCTCACTGTTTATTTGTTGATAGGGATGTCACGTCATTACCTTTCCTGGTAAAAGTCAAAATGTTGGCAAGGAAGTTATGCGTTACATTAGTGAATTATGTTCTTATATTTTAGCTGGGCCGGATGATAATTCGTTGCACTAAGGCTTCTCTGTGTGAGGCAAGTGCCAAGTGATTCTTCCTTCTCATACACACATAGATACATGTTTAAGCAGAGGACATCCAGTGATAGATAATATAATATGCACACACTGTAGTAATAATTAAAAAAAAAAAAAAAAAAAAAAACAAACCAAAAAAACAAGACATAGAACTATTTTAATATTATACTGCTAAATATTTTCCACTATATACATTTCCCACATACCTGTCTCTAAAGGGACACTGTAGCTTGGTAAACTCTGTCCTGCTGGTGATCTTGCTATAGCACTAACAGAGAAGGCAGATCCACAGGGAAGATTAATCAGGGTACAGGAATTTCCAGAACTTGTGCAATGCCAAAATCCAGCCTCTCCTCTGGCAGTGACAATATATGTGGCTTCTTCATTGTCAGATTGCCAGTGCACACTGATTACAGAAAGAGCCTCCTTTGAGATATTTTTAATTTCAGGACTGCAGGGAGCTGAAACATTTCATATTAACTGTATTTAAACAGATTGTTTATGCATCTTACATAAGTTACATACGAAATCTAAATTTCACCTAGGCCTGACAAACTACTTTAGACAAGTATATAATCGTTAAATGTTTACTTGTGACAGAACTGACAACGTAAGGATTTTGCATATAAAACAAGAGTTGAATTGTAAATCTGATTTTCAAAAACTCAGAGCTAGCAGAAGCTTTTAATTCAAATCTGGTTTTAGGTCCCTGCTTATAGTATATTTTTGAAGACTTCCAGTATTTTTTTTTTTTTTTCAGTTCTGGTAATTTAGCACTCCAGTAACACTTTTCATCCATGAATCACTGCAGCGTGTAACTATTTCTTCTACTAATGGAAAATAAGAATGATCATAATACCTGTTGCCACGTACTTGGATGCACACGACGTGTTGCTGCCCCTGGCCTCGCTGAAAGAATAAACCGTGACGTTATACTGGGTGTCACACTGCAGAGCCGACAAGGTGCACACCGTGGCAGTGTCGTTGCAGAGCACCGCGCCGCTCTTGCCAACAGCCCTCGTCTCGTACATTTCAGCCCCTCGGACAGGAGCCCAGGTGACCTGCACCGTGTCGCTCGACACGAACACGGCCCGAAAGTCCCTGGGGCAGCAAGGTGCTGGGGACAGAGAAGGCAGAGAGGGCAACGTGAATGTGAACTGGGAAATGGCATGAAACCGAAGAGCCCCGTTTAATTTATCTGTGTGTTTCATATCTTAAATCTTCAAAGGTGGCCAATACTGTGCAAACAGTCTCATTAATCCCAGACTTACTACTTCAATTACTTCAGTAGCACCTCCTTCCAAATTAACAGAGGCCATTCTAATGTATAGGTAACACATAAGGAATTACGCGTATCCTTGATTTAAAATTTCAAAGCAGCTAGTGGTTAAATAGAAGTGATCTTCACAATTTCTCATTCAATCAATTTTTTCATTTTCCAAATATAAAAACTCTCTATGAGGAAGTTTAAGACTTCGGTACACGCTTCCTAAGGCAACGGAAAAAACCCCGATGTTTATGCCAAGACTGCATGTTGTTCATACGTCCTTGCCGGATGACTGTGAATTGTTAAACTATTTTCAAGTTTGTACGCATGTTGTTGCACTTGACTACACAAGTTAAATTCAACTGCAATGTAAAGTGGTTCTTTTTCTCTGCCAACTTCTGTGTGTTTTGCCCACAAATTGAGTAATAATAAAAGTTTAAGTCATTATCTTCTAATAAAAATGTCCAATCAGCTCTGTCATAAACACAGTTAAAGAATCCAAAATGAATTTGCAAGAATACATTGCTACTCACCAGTACTGTAATTGAATATGTCACCTAAAGGACTCTGCCCTGCCTTGTTATATGCAAAGACACTAATGAAATAAGTGAAGCCACAGTCCGACTGGAAATGGCATTGGGTATGTGATGTGTTGCAGTGCACTTCCAAGCCATCATCACTCTTCACAAAAACCACGTAATAACGACCAAAATTTACACTAGACCATGATACCAACAAGTGGCCAGGTTCATCCTCTTCGACTGATATATTTACTGGTGCACAAGGAACTGAAAAAAACATAATAAAAAAAAAAGAATTGCAATCAGAATATTTTTATTGAAATTAGACTTTTGGGCAATAACAGAATATCAGGAATATATAGAATTACTTTACCCAGCTTGAATAGTTCAAGAAAACAGTAACTTACCTACCCTTACAGAGGATGCTACTTACATTTAGATGAAAATTGAGTATGACTTTTGCAGAAAAAAAAAAGATACTACCTTCATGTTTTACAGAAAAGAGATCTGTGTAAGGAGCCCCTGTGAACAAAAACAGTGGCACCAGCCAGTATTTCAAAAGGAACTGGCACAATGTGTGCTCACAGATAGTAGTTTTGGATGACAGTCAGAATACTAGCTTGAGTAGCAGTTGGCATCCAAAAGCCTTTATGTGAAAACCCTTTAAATATTGGTATGAAACTCACTGGCTGTGTTTGAATAGAGCTGTCCTTTGCTCAGGTTTCCTTTCTGGTAGCTTCCCAAAATATCACATTAAACTGCAAACTCCATGGCTTTGGCTTGAGTAACATTTTCTTTCTTTCGAGTTCAAAAAGCTTAGCTTGCTGCTATTAGAATGAATATACCTGATCTGGCTGAAGCAATACTGGCTGAGAAGATTACAGCCCACAGCTTAAAAGTTGTCTCTTGCTTAAGGCATTGTCATCCCGTTAGATCCACCTCTGAGTTGCTCACATGGATGATCCCTAACTCATATTAATGAGCAGAAAAAATGAGGCAGGTTACATCAAACGATTAAGTATATAATGTTGTCTCTTTAAGGTAGCACATAATAACAAAAATGGTTTAGATTTTGCTTACTCGGGCAGTTCATCTAACAGGGCAGGAAGCAGTAACCCCTGACAAGGCAGTGGTGCTAAGTAGCTGAAACAAGCAACCTTTTGTCCTGACAGAGCTGCTACCTGAGAATGGTCTGTGATGGTAACTTCATCTAGTTTAATGGTGCTACTTTAGCTGGATGTGGTTTTGTTGACCTCCTTTCCAACTAACAACTAGATCTAGCCTGGAACAATTCTCAGTCTAGGGCCAGTCCTTAATGCTATCTCCTCACAGATTTCTCCCAATCTATTTGTGACAAACCTGACACAGTAGGTCTGTTATTCCTTACATTCATTTTACACTCAGAAAATTTACTTTGGAACAGGTACTTCTGGTAAGAGTCAAATACAGGCTTATTGGTTCAGCCAATAATTTATACACTACTGCAAGTTCTTCTCACAGAAATAGCAAGAAAGTTCGGGCTGTTATCCCTGAAATAGAAAGATATATGGCACAGTTCATGCACAAAGTTCAGAAGCAGAAACAGCTATTTGAGAACCACTCATGAATTGTAATGGACTAATTTACATTTTAAATTAAAGAAATATATGTTAAAATGCCACAAGCTATATAAGGATCAATGACACATACTAGTTTTTAAGCTTACTGCATCAGTAGGTTTACTGGATCCAGCATCGTTGTATGCTGTGACAGAAATGTAATATTCGGAGCCGCACTGGAGTGATGGCACCATGCAGGAGGCAGAAGGTGTATTACACTTCAGTTTCATGAGTCCACTGGAGGCTGTCACACTGTAAGTTAGAGCTCCTTCTGTTGGCATCCAAGAAACAATAGCTCTTAAAGCACCACTATTAAAAGCTACTTGAACATCCGCTGGTGCATTAGGACCTACGGTATATCAGTTTAGAACACAGAAATACAAGTTAGCATATGGCCTACAGACATGGTCTTTTTCATAACTTGCAAGGCAAATGCAATTTTTGTGGTGCAGACCTTACCCTCATTCATATTAAAGAGACAATTTTTAAAAGAAAGATCTCTAGTTGTACACCACTGCAAAGCTTTCTGTTGAAACTCCGTATTTGAATATTTGCTTTTCACAGTTAGAAAAATCCTCAAGTCAGTCTAAGCTTGTGTAGTCCTTACCCAGGCCTGCCCTAGGTACAACTTTATTGGTAGTTAATGGTATCTTTGCCTCATTAATATTCATTAAACAGACCCATGTCATCTGAGCTTTCATGAACTTGGAGATGGGGTAAAAATTATATGATCTTAAAATCTATCCAATGTATCTTTGAAAAACATAATACAATCACTCATACACATAGATAGTTCCTGGTATAGGTAAGTTTGTTTGGTTTTTTAATGCTTACTTGGTTTCAGGAAAGAAAATTTCTTACTTGTTCTTTGGTTACTTGTGAAATCATCTCCAGGTATCCCATTGACATTCCAGGCATACGCCTTGATAGTATAGAGAGTTCCAGGATCTAGATTTGTGAATATCAAGGAGGTATTGGTGGTGTTCTCCTTCAGCATTCTGCCCAAACCATCGGATCTCATGAGGGACACGGAGAATCCAGCTGCCATATACACAGCTTTCCAGCTCACTGCAATGGAGTCACAACTTGGAGAACTAACAGACAGAATTGGAGCAGCCAGGACTGTTGGGAAAGAACACCAATTAGGCTTTTGTTTTTTTCAGTAATACTGTTTGAAAGGGCCAAATATGAAATGAATACACATAAAGAGTAATTGCCAGACTCTGAGAGACAAATTCAGTGACAACAAAACCAGGAAAATAGATTAATGCAAGAATGACAGAACAAATATGGAAACTGGTTTGGTGCATCCATTATGATATTACAGGTTTTGTAAAATGAATGTAACTCATAAACATGAAAGGTTGAGTGAGTAGAAGAATGAAAATCACCAAGAAGATGCCGCATTTCCTGTCCTCTAAGGTTTATACTGTCTATTATTTTATTCTTTTAGTTGTTTCTTCATTTCTTCTATTCCCTCAAGTTTTGGCATTTGTTAAAAATAAAATTTATTTTTGTTGAAATAAAATACATATATTTATACAGATTCTAGTAAAACCTCCTAGTAAACATTTAACTTATAGTACTATCATAAAGTAAACCATTAATTCAGATTCTTGTCCTGGTCATTAATACAGATGGCTGAATTCTAGTCCTCAAAAACTGAAAGGAGAATGTGATCTACACAACTTAAAATACAATATTATAATAATTCAGTACTGGTATATGCCTGGGCTACACTGTTTGTTTTCTGGTCAAAGAAATCAATAAAAAAGGATGCTTGCATGAATGCTTTATATTATAATAACAGTACAGAATATGAAATAAGAATTGGAAAGTCCACCTGTTTTTGCTTTTCTGAAAGGTGAAGGCTGGCTTCTTCCTCCTGAATTTATGGATCTGACAGTGATTCTGTACAAGGTGGCAGGTTTCAGTCCCGACACTGTGCCCGGAGAACTTTCAACTACAGTTTCAATGAAGGAATCTCCGTCTTGCGCAGTCAGCAGGTAACTAGTAGCCCCAGGTACTGCTTTCCATTCCACTGTGATACTGTTGCTAAGTTTTGAATAAGCTTGGTCAATAACGGGTATGTCTGGAGCTAAAAGGGAAATAACCATGGTCATACTGAAGTTGGGGAACTCAGCCCTGTGAAATGCAAAGTGCTCTGAACATTTCACAAAAGCCAAAGTGTAGGACAAATGGCCTATACCTTCTATGAATGTTTAAAATGTAAGTTAAAAGAAATTTAAATGAACATTAACAAAATACACAGTATTGACATGTTCTAGACCAATTTTCAATAAAAAATATTCTAGTACCTTTTTTTTTGCCTAGGTTGTCATTATTTAACCTACGTTGCACTGAGAGGTCTCTTTTTTGTCTTGCTCTATATCAAATTAACTATACTGGATGTTTACACAAAGCAATACACAAAGCAATATATACAAAGGAGAAGTGGGTGTTTATACAAAACAGTCTGAAATAGGACACTGAATCATAGACATTTCTATATCAGAGCAACATCCAATAATCTAGTTTTTAAGAGACCATGGGAAGTCATCTTATCCAACCCCCTGCTCAGAGCAGATACACACAACACATCAAATATTGCAGTTAAATGCTTTTCGATTATGTTATGCTGCAGGCAATTCAGAAAGAGCTCTTGTTAACTGCTCTTGTGTACTGCAGGCACAAAAGTAACTACATAAGGTGTATTTCTTAACCACAAGTAATTTAGGTTCAGTAATCAGCATTTTCAGACTACAATTAGCATATGTAAAGCAAGTCTATATATTGCAAGGCTGCAAAAAACTCACTAGAAGAGAAAAAAAGAAAGATAAAATGAATATGTATCCCACCTAAAATTATGTATGCGCCTTGAGGCAAACTTATTTGTAGCAAGGCAGCTAATTTGGGATTTCAGACCCTAGCAAGTATTATACACAGTTATACAACTCCTGATCATTACATCTTCTCTCTTAGTCCCAAGCATTTTCTTATTCAGCTACAGTCAGATACCCTCTTTTGCCCCATTTGTAAAAATGGTAACATATTCTATATGATCATGCCTATGGACATTTAGAGGTGTGTCTTTTGCAATCTTTGAGCAAACTATTGCGCTATGCTGCTTTTTTTTTTTTTTTTTAATACTGCCTTTAGTAACAATTCATTGAAATTGATGTGCAGGAAACCCTTATGAAAGGCTAAGGGAGTTGCTTCCCTAACAGTCAAGTAAAGAATATATAGCACATGATTTGTATAGAAATAACTTACAAAACATTAATCATTAATATCGGTTCTCCCATAAGTAAGCTAGCAATAGAGGGTTTTTTATACCTCTCATGATACACACTGCTACTTTTTTATTTTTAATTTTTATTGTAATAATTACTTTTCTGAGAAACCAATTCTCCTGGAAAAACAATGCCTATTTCTAAATATTAACAGTTAAAATATAACTGAATTTCAACAGAATATTTTTAAAATTACATTTCAGTAATTAAATAAAAAATCAGTTTCGTTTATGTAGATTCATCTTCAGTATCCATCAATGACTTATATGATACAAGGCCTATTGTGAATGAAACAAAAATACTGTTTATCAGCATCAGTACTAGAAAATGAATATAGTTCCACATCTGCATTTGTAATGAAAGGGTAGGTGATGTGGAAAGCTGCAGTCTGAGTAAACTGTGCGTGGCAGATCAGAGAAACATATATATTAAAAAAAAGCACAGGGCAGAAGGAGCTAATCATGCTAGTAATGAACTCGGTAGGAGAACCAGCAAGAGGCTTCAATGGCTGCTATTTATTACCACTACAATGAAACATCAAGGATAAAATTCCAGTCCTACAGAGGTCAATAGAAATTACATTTCACAAAGTTTTTCTTACTAACCTGTTGACTGCATAATATGTGTTTCTGCAAGAATAATTCCATTCTTGTCAATGGCTTCTGCTTGTATAGCATAAATAGTATTGGGAATTAATGAAGTTAGAGTTCCTTTAAGAGTAACATCACTAAAATGAGCCAGTAACGAATGGCCTACAGTATTCACAGCTGTAGCTGTGACTCTATAAGAGGAGGCTCCTGAAAACTTGGGCCATCTGAGATAGATGCTTTGTGATGTCACATCATATATAGACATAGAGAAACCTAATAAAAGAAAAAAAATAAAAAAAATTTCAGTCATTCCTGAATTTAGTTCAATCTTATCAAAAAGATTGTTCAGTGCCTTATCAAGCATCTACATGACCTAATTTTCAGATGATAGGCATTCCATTGAGTTTGGAATGCTATTTCCCTTGTTCACTTTTGTAATCCATTAAGGACTGTAATAAATGCTGCTTGCTTTCATTGTATCATGTTTCGATGATGGCTATTTTTCTTCAAACCTCCATATGCTGTAGTCTCATTATTTTTAAAAAATACTGGGTATAATCCTTCCACACATGAATAGGATCAAATGCTTGTTTTGGAAATCATGAAAAGACTATGCTACAGGAAGTGTTCAGATACTGCAATAACATGTCTGCAAAAATCAAGCATTTAAGACTCTTGGCAGTGCAGTATATGCAGAAACATGTGCTACCACCAGAGAATTAATGAATTCTGAGAACATTTCTTGTAATCTTACACTCCTCATATTTTGAACTGGTTAGTATTCACAGTTAAGGCAATAGGAGCTGCAGACACAAAATAGGATATTGAAGAAAGTATAAAAAGTAAAATGCTGGAAATATTTGTGCTTAGGAGATCATGCTTCTTCTGGTGGGTTTTGGGTTTTTTTTTTGGGGGGGTGGGAGGGTAGGTTTGTTTTCTTCCTTTTTTTTGTTTGTTTTGGTTTTTTTTTCTTTTTATTAGAAGATAGAAGAATTAATTGGGTGTAAATATGGGACAGTTTGCACCCTATTTGTAGCACAGTTATGCAGGTAATGAACAGCACAATTTATCCAGATGAGTGTTCTCCTTGGTTCATGCTACTGTCAAGGCATAAGTGGTCTGTCAGAATCTTTGTGCAAGTGTCCGACAGAATTGGGACTCCTAAAACTGAGGTTTAAAATTTATAGAGATATCAACATAGATTTTTTTTAAGCTGAATCAAACTTGAAAACAATTTTTGTTTATAAAGCTGCTAGAACTTACATAATGTTTTACTAGAAATCACACAAGCGTGTGTTTTCTTCAGACTCATTCAAAAATAAGCAGGTAAAACCAAAGTACCATTTTGAAGATTTACCTGTGTTAGCTGAAAAGATCTGAAAAGAAAGATGTACAAAAAGTTAGAAATACAAAGTGAAATATTTTATTTGGAAAAAACATTAGTATCAACTACAACTTAAAAAACTACATTTTTTTAAACACATTTTACTGATATGACATATTTTCTCAGATTCTTTAAGCACAGTAAGTTTATGCAACCAATGAGATTTGGTACAGGTACGCAGATTGCATTACTTCTTCATTTTCCTCTCTGAACCTGCCCATTGATCCAGTTTTCAGCTGCTCACAGACATCAAAAGACCTTGGATCCTAATATATTATTTTTTCAGTCATTTGTAAACACTGCAAAAGTTCAATAGTAACAAAATATGAATGTACAAATCAGATAGTTGCTCCTTTAACTTTTAGTTCACTTTCACAAAGAGTACAGTATTATTCTTGACAATACTTTTAAAGCAAATTTGTTGCACTTACCACTTCTAGGCAGCTGAAAAGCAGTCCAATAAATATCAGTGATTTACTTTTCGCACTGTGCATCTTGTCAGAACTTTGTTCCAGCCTTCACATGGGGATGAGCTCAGGTTGATCCCTGCTGTGACCATTAATATTTTGCAGCAGTGCTGTCACTGTAGGTTTACTCCCTGGGTTGACAGGAGGTCACGTTAGGTTAGGCCCTCCTCCCTGTTGGACTACAGCCTGCCAGTGGTTACCAAAATCCTGGTGAAATGAGTTTGACATAGCACTGAAATTTTAGGCAGGCGGGTGGTGGGTTTTTTCCCTTCTGCTACAGGATGGAGTTTCTGTATTGCTTATACAAGATTCATAAAATAACTAAGCCCAATGCAAGTTAGAAATTTGCAGTTCAGCTTATTATCTATTGCCATGCTTGTCCACCTACAAGGATCTTTTTTTTCTGTCAGGAATGATGCCCTCGTCGTCCTCCCCTTTGAATGGAACACTGCCCTGCTGACTGGGAACCACACTTCCTCATGCTTCGAGTTGTGGAAACAGAATTTTCCCGCTCATTTATTCGTATTCGTACCAGCTGCTGGTTCCCCTTTGACATCATGACTTCGTGACTTCAAACTATGACTTCTGACAGACGACTTTAGGTGTGAAGAAACGGTGTCTTTCTATGAATCGATAGTGTTTTCTTCGGTGGCTTACACGAACGTATCAGGGAACCCGGGTGCGGTTTTTACGAGGGAGGCACGGCGGCGAGGGGAGCTAGTTTTACACCCCGAGGGGGCCCGGGCCCACGGCAGGTTTCGCGAGGCCCCCCGGGCTGCTCCCCACACGGCACAAGGAGCCCGCCGCCGGGCTGTGGAGACGGGTCCCCGCGTCCCGGGCTCACCTTCCGACGAGCAGCAGGAGGCTCCTTCCTCAGGGGGCGAGCCCCGGTCACCGGGCGCTTCCCCGGCGGGAAGCTCAGACCCCATCCCCGCCGAGAAAGGGGGCCCCGGCGCGGCGCGGCGCGGCGGGGCTGGTCCGGCCGGCGGGAGCCCGCCCCCGGGCAGCAGCGCACCCCTCCGCCCGCCGCCTCTGAAGAGGGAGCGGCGGGGCCGGCCCGGGGAGCGGAAGGGAGCGACTCGGCGGCGGGGCGAGGCGAGGCGAGGCGGCGCTTGTGAGCAAGATGGCGCCGGCGGTGCGGGGTCTGAAGAGATCGGTCTGGCAGAGTGAGTGCGGGTTTCCGCTCGGCGCCCCCTCCCCCGGGGCGGGGAACGCCTTGGGGCCGCTCGCGGGGCGGGGGGCGGCCGGCCGGGAGCCCTCGCCGCTGAGGCGCCGCTTCCCCGCAGCCCGGCGCGTTGAGGTCGGGCGTCCCCGGGCCGCCGGGGATGGGGCCGGGTCCCGGGCCCCTCCTGGTACGGCCGGAGGTGAGGCGGGGAGCCGGGCCGGGCCCCGGCGGGTCTGCGGGGAGCCCGGCGTGCGGCAGAGGCTGGGGGCGGCCGCGCCGCCCCGGGCGGTTCAGCTGGTGACTCGTCGGGGTGGCGGGAGGCGGCCGCCCCGGCTGGCGGCGGTGCCGCGGGTGCCTGCAATAGCTGCACCTGGACAGACGTGTTTTTGCCTTATTCCGAAACAAGGGTGAGCTGTACAGGATATAGCCAGCCGCGGCAGGTCTTGAAGAGGTTAATCTGAAGTCGGCTCTTCAAGGATTTCCCTGTTGCTTCTCAAATGGCAGTTTGGGAGAACGCTCCCGGCTTCAGCAGGGGCTCTCTGGTTGTCTGTCATGAAGTGGTACTGCCTGCCTCATGTCGGGCTTCATGCTTTTCAGAGCAAAAAGCTGAACGTGTCCCCCCGTGTTTTTATCAATGATCTGCAGGTTTCTATCGCTGTGTTTAAGAGCAGGTTCTGCAGGTGTTTGTTACAGAAAATGAAGTTATAAATGCTCCGTGTCTTACTGGAGTAGAAGGGCTAATAGTATCCCAGGCAGTGTGAGGCCTCTGGGGAGAGGTATTAGCAAGCACCTCACGGTGGACTTAATTGTACTGAGGTTGTGACTCCGTGAGCAGCTCGGCCAGCCTAGGGACTGTCTGTCACCGCAATGGGAAGGTCTGGCTGCCTCCTCTGCTTCCACCTGCAAGCTCCAATCTGCTTGTTTGAGTCACTGGAAGAGTAAATAGAAGGAGAGAAAGAGGAAAACATGCTGTTCCTGTGGTGTTCAGTCCTTGACTGCTGACAGCTGTCCCCTGATCGCATGAGTTAGATCCCTTTGTTTAAAACCTGACCTTTTGAAATCCCTATTTGTGCTGCTTTGCTTGTCCTGTCTTGCTCTGTTAAATCATTTGTGCCTTTGGTTGTAAAACGATTGATTTGTCCTGAGGTGTTTTATAGAAGGCTTGGACCTTAAAAGGAGGGAACCTGATCAAAGAGCTACTGTGTCATCAGGGTGTATAAAGACTTGTGAAAATAGTATTGCCAGTGTGGATGAGACCATGAGGAAGAAAGATTAGAGTGATGGTGTAGCTGTATGAATAATAAAACATTTCTATTGCAAACTTTGTAAAAGGAATCTTCTTCGGAAAATAACGTTTTGTTAGATAATTAGTTCATCCATTTTCATTGTTGTTGCAGTCTTGGAAAACCAAGCATAACTAAGTTTTAGACATTGGCACTTAGTTTGTGGATAATTCAAGGCCATAAACTGCTGCTTTCTAGTATTTCAGCAACGGGTGGTGTTTGATTGGTTTTTTTTTTTTTTTTTTTTTAAGGCTGGCTTGTCTGAAAAGAATGTATCAGTGATGCTGATACTTCATGAAACAACTTGTTAACATGTATCTTATTCCTGTTCTGTGCACGGGCAAAGTAGTTGCACCGGTATTGTGCGTACCAAGACTGTTGTACCTGTGCTCTGGTACGGTGCTGTAAAAAACCTTTCTTTCTATTGTGCTGGCCCTTTCCATAAGGTGAGATTTTTAGACTGAAGCTAAGCAGAAGTCTGTGAAAAGGTTACTTCACCAAAGTTTGTCGTTGGTTAAGTACACAGTTGTGGGGGTAGGGGAAGCTACCTGTGTTTAGGAGACAGTAGTTCCTGTCAGTAAAATGACAAAATTAACTATATACTGCATCTCTCTGTGTGTATCTGTAAATAAGGTTATTTCCACAAAGAATTCTGTCTTTAATTTTTTTTACAGCTTTTAAAATGTGTTCTACATTGGTATAATAAGATTCTAGCTTAGCCTTAGATATATACATATATATAATACATTTTTTTAATGATTCAGCATTTCTTCAACTTTATTATCCATAAAACTTCCTTGTAGTGAAAGCTGGTTTAGTCCTTTCTTCAGGAAGTGTGTTATAAATGGGTCATTAACTTCGCCAAGGTGTGGTTTGCCTTTTTTTTTTTTTTTTTTTTTTTTTTTTCTTTCTACACACAGGGGTTTAGCAGTCCACTGTTCCATCAGGGTCGTGTCTAGTTTTTATCTGGTTCAGGAAGTAAAAGTAGAAGAAAAATGCCTTAAACTAATTGAATGTATTCAGTGAAGACAAAAGTAGAGAAGGTAGTTAGAATGCATGATTGGTATGAAATTTGTGAGAAGGAAGTGAAAACTTAGACGAAAATGGAACACTATTCATACCTGGGTTTATCATTCTTTTCGATGCATTCAGAATGCTTACTGGAGTCAAATGAAACTATTTTGAGAGCCTGTAAACCACTGTGGGTCAGTTATTTGTGCAAAGCATCTGCAGATTGAGGACAAAACAAATAGCCATTGGAATGTTTCAAGGACAAATACACTGCATCTGGTACACTGATAGCATGGAATAAAATTTCACGATGGAAGAAAGCTGATTTCTGGTTTTAATTACAAAAATTAAGTTCAACATAAAACTGGATTATGCATTTGTATGTTCTGGTTTATTTTGTAGGCAAATAACTTGAAGTATTGTAGAAAAAATCTATTTGAGATTTTGGACAAGGCTCTCAGGCACTCAGTTTACTAAAAAGAACTCTAATGCTAAGGACTTATTCCTTGGCAAGAGTCTCCTCAGAAAATATGAAGGTTAAATAAATTTTTATGATGCTAAAGATTTGTTCTTACAGCTTGTGTACGGATGTAGAAAAACATAAGTAACAAATAAACAATATAAAAATTACAGGAAAAAATGTGCATGTACTACATCCTGATTTCAGGTGTTACCAACAAATACATCTTGGTAGCAGCTATGGAGTGCTGAGCATTCTGCAGTTTATTATAGTGAGAATATACAGCGAAGTCATGGGAGTGTCTACACCACACTAGGCAGACCTGCAACTTGTTGAAAACTGTGGATTGTGTATAACAGGAAGGATGTTGAAATGGAAGTAACTTGGAGGGCAAGTTGGAGGAATGATAGTGGATTTCTGGAGTTATATAAGCAGGAAAAGGTTCAGGAGAACCAAGTTTGAATTCGATTGTTTAGCAGCATGAACAAAATATACTCATTACATCCCTCTTAAAATGTGCTTTTTGCTTAAGTAACTTTGAGACCAGTGTTTTTGTTAGTTTATTAAATCAAGTGGACCATAAGGTTTTAATGTTGCTATGAAGAATGTCAATACTACAAAAAGTTGGAAAGCAAAACATGAAGTATTCATCTTTTGAAAGAAACTTGTGTTAGTGTGAAAGAGTCCGTGTAGGACACTTCTGTAAAATATAACTATGAGAAGCATGAAGTGTGATATCTTGGGAGTGTTGTGTGCTATGCAGTGTTAGAATTAGTGAAACTGAAATGGAGGTTGGATGAGCAGGTAGGGTGCTCAGCTGGAAAGAACTGCTGAATTCTCAGGAAGTTGGGGGCACAGGTGGAGTGTCTTGTCATAGTGTCATGCCAAAGGGACTTGGAGGTACTTGAATACATTAATGCCGAAGAAATGGGTGCGCTTCTTGTTGTATGTGCACCTGCTGTTCGGAAGCTTTTTACAATTCTGTCCCTTGGCAGTAATGACAAAATGCATGCTGAATTTCTTCATTTATATTTTAGGCTTCTGTTTATGTTACTTCAATTTTTTCATTTGGGAAAAAGGTCCAGCTATTTTAATAGATAGCAGTAGTCAGCTTCATCTGAAATTCTGTT